AACATGAGCTAGTTTGGCATTAACGCATAGGGGACATTATTACGAGATTTCGAGATTTCCGAAGTTGCTCGTGGTTAAAATAATTAGGTTTTCATCGCATTGATAGTTGGCTTAATTGTGTTAAAAGATAGCTAAAATTAGATTCAATAGACTAAAGTTGTTTCATTAGCCTTGTTTCAAAATTCTAGTTCTTATCCAATCACGTTCAAGGAAACCGCTCAAAACGGTATAAAGTGGGTCGACGTAACGGCTTGATAGTCTCAACATAAATCTTCAGCAATCAGATAAGAGGAAGAAATGATTTTGCAAAGCAGCAACAAAACATAAACATAAAAGATTCCAATATTAGTTGGTTTCTTCATGAAACTTCTACATTATTATAGATACCTAATGTACTTGATTAATAGATAGGTAGGTAGTTAACTGTACCAAACACACGAACCAGATTGTGTTCAAGAAGAGTTGCGGGCAACTTGACAAACCAACTACTATGTTCTCTTTAATCCAGATCTTCTCGCGGAATATAATTCTCGTAGGTTTTGCAGCACCCTTATTATTGGAATTGACTCAGCTGTTTACTGTAGAAGCAGTATTGCTTTACTTGACGAGGTCATATGAGACAGCACCATACCGATTATAATATTTTAAGAATTTAGTACCAAGAGAGAAAGAGAGAAATAGAGAAATCTTGTATTCGTCAACATGCTAATTCCCATATAGTTTAGTTAATCCAAGTAAAGTATCTCTTAGGTAGTACCGCATTATCTCACTATTAACAAGGAAGGTGGATGTCTCGTTAATACTGTAATGTCCTTTAGTTTGGATATGCCTTCAATATGAAGCTCTAAACATAGCTGCTACATATTAAACAGCATCATTACCTATTCTTTATTTTACTTCTAGCGCTTATCATCTCAAAATCGACTCACTGAAAAAATAATGCTCATTCAACTGTCAACTGCACATCTTTGCTGCCGCGAAGTCACAAGGGCTTCGAAGCGAGAGAGATGTTCAATCTAAAGTTCCAACTAGAAATTATAGCAATATTTTATTCTACATAGTATCAAAACCGATCCACCTATGAGCTGTTATTGTATACTTCTTATACGGGTACACTCTTCAAACTTAAAAGGTGAAGAGAGAAACAACCCCACACGTCGAGCTCAATCGCGATTAAATTCAGAGGAATGTTCATGTCTCTACATGTCGGTATTTAAACCCGTAAGATGCCCCATATATAATCAAGACTGTTTTTAAATCAGTATGGATGATTACCTAGTTTTGTCTAGCTTAATTCAATCTTACCTATTCCATGGGTTCTCGTTGCTTAAACCCCCCGTCTGCTTCATGCTTTCACAAACCTAGAAGGCACAGAAAGTAGATGTTAACTATACACTCCGGCTGGGGTAGTCACGACTAGAATGATTGTGCTACGTAGAGCATTACCTCCGTATGAAATACATAGGGCCTAGGACTCAAACTTAGGCGATTGCCATCAAATATTAATGTGTGGATAGTGATGCGGTCTTAGGTACCTAAGGTAATCAACTATTCTTAGGTTCTTGATGTTCTGACTATTGTAGTAAAGAATTAGTATTATTGCAGGTAGTTAACCCCAGCTCGAGAGCAATGAAACATAAATTTCGTAACGATAGTGGTATTATTGGATAACCCCAATTAAACATGAAGAGCTCGAAATGCTAGTAGAGATATTAATGTTGCTACGAGTTAACTTGTTTTATATATATAAAAAACGCAACTGTTATATCACGGTGGGTATTATCAAGAGGCTGGAACCTATAAGCCATGAATTTTGATCCGGTGCCCACGCAGATGCCTGAATATGTTAGCTGCGGTTTTAATACCACACTACTCCAATCTTTCATACGAGCTGTTACTTATTAGTAATGCTAAGGCTAGAAGCCCAGCCTCTTATCTCACGTTACTCTTACGAAATTAGGAAGGCAAATTGGGAGGTTGCTTTAGTAAGAACCCTAGAATGAACCAGTAGGTAGGTAGGTTGTCTTCCAGAACCTGTGAAGTTTTTTCCGCCAAGCAAGTTCGTTCGCTTTACAACACAACACCGATCTCCAAAAGCAGACGCATTCTGAAAGATCTTGAGAGCTTCCTAGACGAGCTAGTCAATTGACCCGACAGAATACGGGCAGTTTCCTGAATCGGTGTTCTGGACGTCGGAGGCGGAGAGGCGATTGGTTGGTGATACCCCCGGCTTTTTGACGCCGACGGAACCCGTATTCTACATGATCGGCGCGGAATAGGCTAAGTGTAGTCTGGCATTAAGGTGGCTTGCATATCAAACGTATCTGTTGGGACTGCTGCCGCTACCTGGCTAGTAAGGCACGTTGGGCTCTTTGGACGCCTCGTTCTGGAGGCTGAATGATCGTCGACGATGGAAATAGGTTCTGTAGGTACCGATAGATAGCATCCACATGTCAGCACTATTGGTACAGATTCAGATCTTCCAAGAGGGGAATTCGGCCCTTTCTTATTATCTGATTCTTAAGAGTCTCTTGCATCATTGATGATAGCAACCACTTCCCAGTCGCTAGATGGCGGCCCAAGCCGTAATGCTTTATTAATACGAATGCACGTAGGGATGGCGTGCGTGCACATGCGACGATATAGTCGTTCGTATTCTCGGCCTTGTACATAGTAGGTATCTCTCGTCTCCAACCCCCTCTCTTATTCACCCATCCGGCTTCGATATCGATCTTGTCAACGAAGGAAAATAAATGGTCACGCAGCCACGAAGTCAAGAGCCGCCAAGAGCCTCCATCGAGCGTGGGGAACGAGCGGCAATCCTCCTGCCTCTCTCGGCAATTGATAGGCATCGCGGCAAAGGGCCAACCTTATAAATCCTCGAGCATTCTATACTATATAACTAAAAGGCGACTGTCGATTGGACAAGCCATGACATGGGTATGGGCTGGGCGAACAGGGACGCTTTCCCAGCAACCGCGATTCTTTCGACCGTCTATCAAGATGGTGGCGTAATTGGATGCCAAGGTCTAGGCGCAGACCAAAATGCCGGGGGATAGTCCAGAACTCGACTCATGCCGCGCTGCTCTACAAATTAAATCGTCCACCCACCTACCTCTTTAGGTAGATTGGGATACTACGACAGTATCTACACTCATGATGCCATCTCTCCAAGGCCAACACCCTCGTCGATATGTGGTCGAGCGTATTGGCGACCACGGCTTCTCGATCCGAGCTGCCTTATCGCGACAGCCTTTGTGGATGAATACTTAAGGGCCGTCAGGGCGGAGTCGGCTTTGAAGTTAGCTCCCCCTCCCCTTATTCTCCGTCTTCATCGCTCGGATACAAGTCGAGAGGATCAGTAATCGAAGTGCAAACCTGGGGAAAACAGACGTCAAGCAGGATGAAGTACTCTCTGAACGCAGTCGCCCTTGCGGCTCTCTCTAGCTTCGCGGCGGCAAAGGAGCTACCGCCCGATGAGAAGCTGGCGGCTGAGATCTTCGACAGCGGTATCCGACATGAGCACATCATGTCGACTAAGATGGTACGGAAAACATAATTACGTCGGCCATGTCGGCTGGTTGGTTATGCTAACGAAGAACTCATAGGCGTACTGGGACAGCCGAAGAGAGCAAGGCATTTTCGACTCCACCCAATACAAGAGCATGGATGCTGCCGTCGATGTAGTCCCCTGCGTGAACGGAATCGCCGAGCTCCAAGCCGGCGACCCGCTCTACACGTTCAAGTGCAGCAAGCTCGACCTGTACGACTTTAAGTCTCACGCCGACCTCGGCAGTAACGGCGGCGAGGGTGCCGGTTCGTGGGGCTGGACCAGCCCGGACGGCCGTGAATTCGTGGCTATCGCTCAGTCCGACGGTTCCTCATTCGCTGAGATCAGCCCCGAGGGCAAGCTCGTCTACCTCGGCCGACTACCGCAGTACTCGGCTGCCGAACCGTCGCTATGGCGTGAGATCAAGGGCTACAAGAACTACATCGTCATTGGCAGCGAGGCCAACAACCACGGTATCCAAGTCTTTGACATGTCTAAGCTCCTCGACATCGACCCTGCTAAGCCCGTCACCTTCAACAACGAGGACGACATCTCCCATTTCAACGGCCTTCCCTCCGGCCGTTCCCACACCGTCCAGACAAACGAGGAGGTCGGCTACGCCGTCGCCTCTGGCGCACAGCCGCGCACCTCTGCCTGCGCTTCCGGCCTCATCTTCATTGACCTGTCCGACCTTTCCAACTTGACTTCCCCCGGATGCGCCGCTGCCGACGGCTACGTGCACGATGCGCAGTGCCTGATCTACCGCGGTCCGGACGAGAAGTACGTGGGCGAGGATATCTGCTACGGATACAACGAGGACACCTTGACCATCTACAACGTGACGAGCAAGGCGAACCCGACCATCATCTCGCGTACCTCGTACGAGGGCGCCAGCTACACCCACCAAGGTTGGGTCCTTGACACTCAGTGGCAGCAGTACCTCGTCCTAGATGACGAATACGACGAGTACGACGGCGCTGGTCTAGGCGAGCCCGGATACCCCATCACCTACATCTGGGATATCTCCTCGCTAGAGGCGCCCAAGCAGACCGGTTACTACAGGGCGTCTCGCAAGGGAATCGACCACAACCAGTTCGTCAACGGCGACTACGCGTACCAGAGCAACTACGGCGGCGGTCTCCACATCCTCGACATCTCGTCCATCCCCTCGGACCCCACCGGCAAGGGCGTCAAAGAGGTCGCCTATTTCGACATCTACCCCGAGGACGATAACGAGGAGGGCGGTGGCCAGATCGAGTTCCAGGGCACTTGGTCTCACTACCCTTACTTCGAGAGCGGCTACATCTTGATCAACACGATCGAGCGTGGAGCCTACGTCGTTAAGCTGTCTTCGTAAGAAGATGATGCTGCTCATCTCGTCTCTGATCAAGTCGGAGGATACTTGGGTAATCGAGATATTACAGGGATATAAACATGAATTACCAAAATATATAGCAATGCTAATGGTTCAATTAATGTCTGTGATCATACAGTGCCGTAGAACGTGAGTAGCCCCTGGCCTGGCTATGCCTACCTACCTATCTAAAGCATATTATGAATTAAGAATCATGTTTCGCCGGTTTTGTAGTTACAGTCGACGTCTTCTTCTCCTGCAGTAAGTAATCGCCGCCGCGCCATGCTTTATACACCCCATACAAGCCCTGGAACGGCCGAACATTGCGAAGAACCACCGGCATTCTTGAGCCCTCCATGACCTTCCTCTTCGCGTCCTCGTCAACTTTAACCTTATCGTATACACTCGGTAGATGAGACGCGTGGTACTTCTCGCGCACATTATCGTAAGCAGGCCGATCGTAAGATTTCCAAAACTCCTCCTCGGTATAGTAGGCCTGGGCATACAATGTCTTGTTGCCACCTAGCTCGTGGACCATTTTCTCGACTGCACGGTTCAGACGCACTAGTTTTCGGTAGTCAGTAGGACCGGGTCCCCAAATGCCAAAGTTAAGCATGAACTCCGGATAATGCGGGTTGGCAAAGTTCGCATGCAGCCCATGTGCCGCATTGGGTGTTTCGCGTCGCAGACGTAACGGACACAGCCAGATAGGATAGATGTTGAGAGTCTGGTCCACCCAGACGAAGAAATCATCGGCGGCAGCAAAAGGTACACCAACGTCTTGAATGATATAGGTATCTGACAGGCGGCTCTTGTGTAGGGCGTGATACATCACACGGGCATGCATGTAGTTGTCTAACAAGCGGCGTGTGATTCGGTTGAAGGGCGTGAAGAAGTACTTGTAAGCGTGTTTAGCCACCCAGAAGCCGCCGCGATCCCATCGAAACAGGTAATCAACCAGCGGAACGTAATCGACAACCGGTTTTCCCGCCTTCTTGGTCCTCTTCTGGACATCTAAGTAGAACCATGGATCTTGTCGGCCCAAGTATCGTCGGGGCTTGGCGCCTATAGGTATAATATTGACCAGGCGACCGGAACAAACCACAGCTGACTTGGGCGAAAAGACAATACCATCGATGAACTCCACGGTCTGCTTCCCAAGCTCCTCTAGTATCCTTCTTCGAGCATCTGGGAAGTTTGCTGTGGGATAATGCGTCAACTCCACGAAGCCCTGGAAATCTCTCAACTGGACCTCCAAGAGCGTGACAATCCCGAGGGTTCCGAACCCAGATGCTGCACCCCAGAAGAGGTCGGATCTCTCGGACTTGGATGCGTGCACGACTTTTCCGTTAGGCAAGACTATTTCGATCCAATTAATAGTTGAATCAAAAGGTCCATAGCGGCATGAGCTACTCTCGCCGGCCGAGCCGCTGAACCCGCCGCCAACGGTAATGCCCGGAAACTCCATAACCACCAGTGGGACTAACTGGGCGCTTCTAGTCGCGTCGAGAAGACGGTCCATAGAGACGTTAGGTTCCACCAGCGCCGTTTTAGTGGCTTTGTCGACTCCTAGAACATGGTCAAGTTTGCTGGTATCTACCGTGTTGTCAGTGTTCTTCTCTGAGGTGCGAGTGCTGTTGGTAGAGCCATGATAGACTCTGAAAGGTTGGCGTTGCACATAGAACTCCTGCAACCTCTTGGATATGGATGCTACTGCGCGATGATGGGCGTCCATTATTATCGATATATGCACGTATAAAGCAAGGTATTGCTTTATATTGTTCCGAAGATGATGATCGCGTTGGGACGTGAAAACAATAATAAGTTGAGTGAGGGAGGCTTAGACCTTGTCAGACGCGAACAGTTGGCGGGCAACCGTTAAGAACCCCCATCGAATTGACGGTATTAGGTAGGTACCTGTTGAATAGTTCATGTATTGATGGAATTATTATCTAAAGGAATTATTATTTTTTTTTTACAAACACTCAAGATGATTCTGAATGTCTGAATGACACGTGACGATCAGTCACGTGTTGAGATGTACCTTGGTACATCTCACAGTACCTAACCTTAGGTACCTACATTGATTTAATGCATCTGAGACAGACGTAGTTAACGGAACTGATCGAGAGGTAGACTTATTTCAAACTACAAAGTTCTTTCTGAGCTTTGTTATTTGTTTAAATATTTCGTTTTAATGTATTTATAAACCGTCACACTTCTTATATATATCTAGTGCTTATATACTCCTTAAGCCTTTATATTCTCTAAATCCGTTCAAATAGTACTATCATATTCGATTGGTCACTTCGTTTCGGTCATCCCGCGTCTACTTATATATTACGATACTATTAACAACAATAGCCAAGTATCAAGCCGTTGTCGCCTCTTAACTAACCTAACCCTGCCGTCTGGGGTATGGGGTATTGTACGGGGTAACCCCACAGCTCCCCTCTTCGGTAAACAATTCCACGAACGTTATACCCTGCAGTCTTCTATCCTGCGGAGACTAGGCCTCATTAACTTGCTTAAACGAGGTAAGCCATGCAAGTTAACCCGTCAAGCTCGGGCTATGTTCCCCCTACATACTGCTGCTAGTTGGGGATATGGGTTCGTAAGATCAGGAATCAGTTCTATATGGAGAATATTATTTATAAATTATAAATAAATAGATAGCGTAGACGTATCTTGGGTAACTACCTACCTAATGATTATATGTTTATTCGACCTCCGCACCGACCCTTGTTATAGTACCAGGCGTTATCATGAGGGTCAACGTAGTTGCTCGATGGGCCTCGGCTCTCGCCATTCTCCCCTTGGTCAGTAGCGAGCCTTCCATGACTATCATCAACGAGAATGTGACGCGTATTTCCAATGGCGACACCTTCTCAATGGACGTCGAGTCGTCCGGCTACGTGACAAAAATGTGGTGGAACCGCCGGGAAATCGTAGGTAACGCGACCGGAGGCTACACCGACACGGGCGGCAAGACGACGTTCAATTTCACGTCCGGCCCGACCCTGATCGAAAAGACGGACTCCATGATCCACGTAGGATTCAACAACTCCTACTTTGGTAACGTCTATTACGTTCTTTTTAGTGGTCTAAACGGTCACTACCAATACGTCACCAACCGGAATCTAGGATACCAGGGCGAGGTCCGGAGCCTATACCGCCTCGACCCGCTTCAGTTTACTTGGGGTCGGACCAACATCAAGAATGCGCCGCTACCCGCGATCCAAGACATCAAAACCGGATACAAAGTGCAAGACGAGACTTGGCAGAGGCCCGACGGCAGCTACATCACTAAATATGATTTCTCGTGCTACGTCAGAGACCTCGACTTCCACGGCTTATACGGAGACGGCGTCGGAGCTTATGTGATGGCTCCGGGGAAAGATTACTACATCGGCGACCACCTCAAGCAGGAGCTTATGCTTCACAGGGAGAGCTCTACCGACGACGCCGTTCTGCTACACATGTATCACGGTGAGACGACAATTTGCTACCTAGTCAACCCCTTTTCATACATACCTAGAACTAACGACAACGTCTGGCTTAGGGTCACACTACAATTCCGAATTCAGCAATCTAATCCCGCCAGGCAAGATGTGGGGACCATGGCTCTTTTACGTCAACAACGGCGACTTAGACGATGCCGCGGCCCGGAGTAAAAAAGAAGACGCAGCGTGGCCTTACCCCTGGCTCCAGGATACCAAATACCGCCAGCGAGGCACTGTGCGAGGGCGGCTAGTCTTCAGCGACGGACGACCCGCAGCCGGCGCCGCTATCTTCCTGGGCGACGAGGACGGCGCCGAAACCAATAACCAGGGTTCTAACTACCAGTATACCACGTACGCCGATGCCAACGGTTCCTTCGTCCTGAGCCACGTTCGACGGGAAAAGGGGTATCGCCTCCTAGCGTGGGCCAACGGGGGTTCTCTTGCCGACGTAGAAGGCGCGCACAATGGCACGGCGGTGGAGTTCGCCGGTACAAACCGTTCCGAGATCGACCTAGGTACCATCGTATGGGAAGTTCCAACAACAGGCCGGCGTCCAGGATGGCGAATCGGTGATTTCGACCGCAAGACGCTCGGGTTCAGATTAGGCGGGGTACCAATGGAACACGGCCTAAGCGACGCATGTCCAGCGAACCTCGTATACGCCATCGGCTCTAGCCAGGACGACGACTGGTGTTTCGCACAGAGCGCGCAAGGGAACTGGACCGTGATCTTCCCCGAAGCAGACCGAGAGCGCGGTGCAGTCCTCAGTCTCTCGTTCGCGGGGTACACGAGCCAGAACGGATACGGACTTGGCAGGGACTCGTACGCTTTTCCGGAGGTCGAACCGACGGGTCTTAACGTCAGCATGAATCAGCAGTTGGTCGGGACTATCGTGAGCGAAAACGCAACAGACGGGGCGCTGTATCGAAGCGCGACGACATCCGGCGGTTATTATGCTAGGCAGTTCATTATCCCCGGGGAAATGTTCCTCTCTGACAGAGCCAACAGGCTAGATTTGTAAGTGGTATAAATTATCTCTGATATGCCTTTCACCCTGCACTTGGGGACCTAATTCGGTCTTCTCTATACGTCTATATAATCGTGCTAACCAAAACGTAGGAGTCTAACGCAAAACCATAGATGGAGAGGGATAATGTGGGATGCGCTCAAGCTTGAGTGGTTGTAATCACATTGTACAAACAATATAGCGGAAATTATAATCGTTCGCAGATATACTAAAGCACCTCAGGGATACTGATATACGAAACAAGTATTTCTTACACGTTAGGAGGTAAGAACTAGCATATTTGCCAATGATCAAACCTAACCTATTACGTATCATAATAGGTAGATCTAAATTATAATCCAGAATCGACGACTGGCGATAATCCGGAGGGCAATGTCTGTAAGTATAATAGAAACAATTCTGTACAGGGTATCATTTTAATTACACAATGCCTAAATAAGCAGATGCCCCCTATGCAAGCCAACAATCCAATATCATGAATGTGAAATGTATGGAGTTCACATGGCGTTTATTCGGCATTCCTGTTTGGGTCACAATCTAGAATCAAAATTGATTGTTCTCTTTTGATTTTTTTATCATCAAGGCACGTGTCCGGGCCCTCTTGAGTTCCTGTTTCCTTCTGATGCTCCTGACGTCGTTTCGCTGTCGGATCCTAACCACCCAGGCAAATATAGTATGGCGCATCAAGATTAGAATTGTTGCTACCATGACGGGAATTGCAATCCACCAGCTGTCTTGCGTTAGTAACTGGCTTCGTGAGTATTGATATCAGGAGTAGACTCACAAGTACGAAACATCGCCTGTTATCGGCGCAAAGTGCTCAAAGTTCTGGCCGAAGTATCCAGTCAAGAATGTTAACGGCAGGAATATGATGGTAACCATAGTCAATTGTTTCATGCTCTCGTTTTGGTTGGTCGAAACAGTATTAAAGGTGAGGTTAATCATGTGATTAGCCAGCTCTTTGATCTGATTGAGACCCTCCGTAATGAGATAACAGTGATCGTACTATAACGTGTGAATTAGTGATTGAGTTAGAAGAGGATTAAATGAATTTAGCTAGGCTATATCTAGCACTTTGATAAGAAACTTACCACATCGCCCAAGTAGGTGCAAGTCATTGGTGAGATGATGACTCCTTCGTTGGGATTCTGTAGTTCCCTCGCTGTGGCGGTATCGCTCAGCTTTGTCTTGTGGTCGCGGAGCGCACCGATAAGCGTTTGGATTGGGTTAATGAGATTGTATAATTTGCTGACTTCAGAAATCACGATGTAGAGGAACTTGCAGTCGGTGATCTTGGGGCTTATAAAAAAGTCGAGCTCTAGATCCTCGATAACATCCATATAACATGAGGTAACTGGTATAGCCATGTCGATTATTGCGTCGATGATGGCCTGTGCAACCATTGATGCATCGCAGGATTGCCTTAGGATTGTAGTTGGGATTGCCAACCGAGCCAATATAGGTTTCTCTACATCACCAGCCGATTGCTCAAAGAAGGCAATTACCGTGTTATCCGATGTTATGAACATAGCAACCTGCTCAGCAGTGACTGCTACGCCTCTAGAGACCAGAGCTGAGTTCTTCTCCATGTATTCTGTTCGCGCAGAGTTTGGCGAGGCATGATATCTCTGCAATGTACGTAGCGTGTCCGGGTTGAACACATTGGAGAAATTAGTCGGTTGATACGTGAAGCTTTGATTTGGTGTCATCGTCTGCTTTGTGCCACTCTCCAGCGCGGTATCCTCCTCTTTCGTGCTATTCTCCGATTTCCTGCGGAACCATCGCCTAGCCTTCTTGCCTACCGACTTCTCACTCTCTTCGTCAAGGCTGCTCTTGTCGTCACTGCTGTCATCCTCTACTATGCGGACCAGCTTCTGGCACGTGAGAACAATGAAGGCATGATTAGTATACCTTTTGAAAGATAATTAGTCACTGAGTGCAATTTTTTAGGGTGGAAGCTCCTTACCAATCAGCTTTCGTGCGATTTCTTGGGTTCATGACATCCTCAATTGACAACCTATGTAGGTCTTTATGTTGACCCAAGGCTTGAATGACGTCCCACGACAGACCATTGACATTGATCCATCGACATTTTACCCAATCAGGTTGTGGCTTTTGGATAAATTCGATGAGTTGATGATTGTCAAACTCATGTACCTTTAACTCGTCTTGAGAGAAGTCGACAACCGTGATTTGGCACTCTGCGTGAAGGGTGGGTACCGTCTCTTGACCACCGTCAGGCTTCAAAGGATCAACACCTGGTTCAGCACCCGGCTTCCACCCTGGCCGGTTTTCAAACTCTTCGAAGCGATCTATAGGTTTAAACGCATTCGATCTAGTCATACGTCGTCTGGGTGTAGAGGTTCGAGAGGCTGGAGGGTCATTATTATCAGCAGATTGCCGAGGAGATCTGAACTTGAGGCGCGAGCCATGGCGTGACGAGTGAGGTCGTGTCCTAGTTCTATCTTGTGGACTCTCTGAAGATGCGGAGAATGGGGCGCTTGTACTGGGTGCGCTTGTACTGTGTGCGGGCTCGGGGATTGGCGCCGTTGTTTTAGGACTAATGTCATGCAGATCGTCTGCCAATGCGGTACTGTTTGAGGAAGATCGGTGCGACATTGTGTAAGACCGGGACCGACTGACCCTTGGAGATATATGAGACGAAGGGATTGGCGAACAAAGTAGGATATTCAATAAATATATCCATTGATTGGTTACAGGTTGCAGGAATACCTTACGCATGCATATATAGATATTTTTAACAGTTAGAAGTGTATCGTGCTATTAAGAAGACTGACTGACTGAATAAGGTCATAGTGAAATAATAATTCCCCACTTCAAGCTTGGAATACTCAAGCTTGGAATAGGCCCGACGTTAGGGGTCAGTATTTGGTAATTTGAAAAGGGATGATGCTATTGGATACCGGGACTTAGTTTTTAGCTGCGTATTGATCTTGTGTAACTGAACAAAAGATAGTCCAATGTGACATGTCCACCAGATTAAGCTTTATAAAGTTCTTCTAGTTACTCAAATACCTGACACGTGCAGGAATAAAAAGTAAAATATATGGGGATATGGAGTACCTACATGCATACATAAATAATCGAGAATGTATCTTGTATAACATTGACGTATACATTGCTGAAGCCAAACTACATACATACCTAGTGTATCCAGATATGTAGTCTAGTGTATGCCGGGTAGCCGGGGTAAAGCTAATTGGTATATGACGTAGATAGTTATTGGCGTTCCCAAACAACCACATTTTGTCTATATGCAAACTACACAAACACGTTCAAGCTAGATACATAAACGTAGGTGAATCTTTTTATATATTCATAATACCTTACCTACAGGTATATTTCAGTAATCATCATGGCCGAATACGAAGCTCGCCGGCTTGAGAATATCAAGCGTAACCAGGCTCTTGTGAAAAATCTAAATCTAGGACTCCATAATAGCAGCTATTCAAGCAAAGCATATCAAAAAGTCAAAGATCACTACCCATCTCCTGCAAAACGCCGCAGGCTCTATATTAATTCCCCTAGGCGGTCGTCGGCTCGTATTGCAAATGCTTTAGCAAAGCCACCTAATAATCCTAGAGATATGCAAGACGATTCATCAGATTCGTCAAGTAATCGGCCGCATAAAAGCCGGGCAACAAAACCTAGTCTAGACATTGACGCTCTAGTTACAAAATGGTCTTCGTGGACTCTTGCCGCACCTCCCCCAACGCGCGACGACGAGGGGAACTATCACTTCGCGTCGCACCCCACATTCACCCCCAATAAGTCCCCCGAGGCCATCATTCGCGAGGGTTCCTTCGGCGGAACCTACTGGCGCCCCCTTTACTCCCGACACCTTCGCACCACCATAACCGACGACTGGAAAGAATTACCAGCGGAATGGACCGAGGGCCTCGACGTAGGAAAGTACCTTACCAGCGAGACCGTCAACCCGGAGGTTAACAAGTACGGGGTCGCATGTGGGCAGACTATCGAGCAGTGGGAAGCCTCCGGGTGGATCATGCACGAATACGACGTCCGCGGCTGGTTTCAGTGGTACTGTAGATTCTGGCAAGGACGTCGCTGTCCGGACGATAACCGTCAAGTAAGTAGGTGGCAGAGGTGTGTTGGGGAAAAGGGAAGATGGCGCAGGGTTCTCCTTAAGGGGTACGTGGAAAATGGTATACGTAGCGTAACTGATGAGGGAAATGACCATCAGAAGGAAGATGTGAGTCCTGCTATACATCAGACGTGCCATCATTGGGCTTGGGAAGTCAGGCAGGAGGCATTAGATCGATTTTGGGAAGAGAGCGAGTAGTTTATCAAACAATTCAAGTCGATAGTCGCGTTAGTTCTAGCATTCGTATCATTATTCCAAGTGTTGTGCTATTTGGGTTCTCCGGCTCTTGAATGTTTCTCAACATATGTGGGAGGGATCCTAAGTTAATGCTGTCTATAGTCCAAGTCCAAAAGCTAGGATGCCACCCTCAACTGATTGCTCATCTATTCTTACCAAAGGGCACGCTGGATATGCCTTAAGTACTTTATATATAAGGGGAGAAGGGATTGACTCAACCCATCCTGCATAACTCATAATATCCAGATCAGCTTAATAATTCCTTGATATCCTCGACTCTCTGGAGTCTCTTTTCTTCGTCGCTCATCATGCCCAATGAAGTAGCACTAGAAAAATAACACGTTAGCAACTTACATTGCGCCCATATGATAATAATAAATGAGAAAATGATGAGTGCTCACATAAACTTCTTCCTATCTTGGACTTTTAACATCCGCTCCTCGACGCTGTCTTTGACGATGAACCGATAGACCTTAACCTCGTCGTCTTGGCCCATCCTGTGCACACGATCGATGGCTTGGGCTTCCACGGCGAAGCTCCACCAAGGGTCCATCATGAAGACACGCTTCGCCTGCGTCAAATTTAGTCCCACACCACCAGCCCGCAAACTTAACAGTAGGATAGTAAATTTATTGGACTCCTTGAATTCATTCAGGATGGCGGAGCGGGTCTTTTGGTTGGTGGAACCGTCGAGACGGAGGAATCGCATATTAGCTTTCGCGAGTGCAGGCTCGATGAGTGACATGAAGGATGTAAATTGGCTAAAGACGACTGATTTTATACGTGGGTGCTCCTTGCGTAACTGACGTAGGTGCTGCATTAACGAGACAACTTTTGACGAGGACTCATTTGACCCTAAGCGCTGTAAGCTAATCTTGGGCGGGGACTGTATCGTTTCCGGGTCGTCATCCTGCCGAACCACTTCGAATAGATCACGACTATTGATAGGCTCACGACAATTAAAACATTTTGGAACTTGGTGGCGATCCGTATTATGTTTTATGAAATCTAGCAGGCATTTCTTACAAGCAGAATGCCAGCAGCCGGTAACAGTCTGATCAATCATCGGCTCCTCTGAGCAGATAGGGCATTCGTTTACTGCCTCATCCCGAATTTGCTGGAGGACATGGGCACCGAAAGCATTTGCATCCTTCTCGTCGTCCGTAGTCGCTGTAAATCTCTCTATTAGGGACTGGAGGTCCATATCGTCGCTGAGACCCGCGGCTGCATCGGCTTCCGCACCGGCGGCTTCCTCTTCGGTGATGATATCCTGATTCCTAACCAGAGTTGGGTGGCAGCATGTTTGGCGCAGACGGAGGATCTGAGCAAAGATAGTAGTATAGGCTTTCATGACCGTCCCCTTTTCGAAGTTGGCGGAGAATGTACGTTGGGCCCTAGTGAATACGTAATCGTAAATATCCCGCTCAGCCTTCGAGAGTTCAACCTCAACGATTTCCATTGACTTCGGGGGCAGGGGGACAAGACTAAATAAAATTAGTATCATAATCTCTGAATATAATAAGTATATCGTAACTCACGGCTGTCCTTCGGGCGTTTTCATGTCTTTCGTTCTCCTCATTACCAACGGTTCCAATACTGTTTGCACCACATCGAGGGCACGCACGAAATCCTTAGACTCGAATGGAACGGTGATAAATGTTCGCCAGTACGAAAAGTTATTCCATGGCTCGACTCTAAGAAACCTGACTAAACTAAACAGGTCCTCTAAACGATTTACGATGGGAGTTCCCGTGAGAGCCCAACGATGAGTGGCTGAAAGCTCATAACATGCTTTTGAAGTCTTCGACTGGCGGTTTTTGATGGTATGGGCTTCGTCGAGGATAATCCGGAAAAAGTCCAACGAGAACAGACCATTGTGCGAGTCTCTATTGCCTGTCTTGGATGTGATTTGAGTAAATTCAGAAAGAACTACACCGTAGCTCGTAATTACAATATCAGGGGCAGAGGTGATATTAGTATCACAACAGAGGGCTTGAAGATTATCAATCTTTTCAGTGCCATAATAGACGATGGACTTTAGGGTACCCTCCTTGGATGCATTTTCTGCTTCACTTTGCCATTGTGCAAGCAGTGACATTGGAGCAATAACAAGGGTAGTCTTAGGTGCTGAAACGACGCCAGACCTAGAAGAGAGTTTCCGAAGGCCATTTACAGAACTGAGGGATGTGCCCGCACTTTGCATTGCTGCTTCAGATTTGTGCGAATGTATGAGACTCAGCATTTGAATCGTCTTACCGAGACCCATCTCGTCAGCAAGGATACCACCCAAGCAGTGTTGCTCTTGGGCAGGAAAATCTAATGACATCTCACCAGAGTATGGATTCATATAGAAGTTAGGTTGACCGTCAACTTGAGCAACTTCTTGATCGTCGACATCCTTAGTAGGCCAAGAATACTCTTCCCAGAGAGGGTGCATCGATGCTCCACGAACTTCGTTCTTCCGGTCTTTTTCTTTGGCTAACATCCAATATAATGACTGTTTCTGATATGGACGAAGTGTCATATCGAAGGATTCAGCTGGTTCAGCCTCGGGTGTATTGAAATCAAATGACTGAGCTTTCCGGTATAGAGCATCAAGCTGATCTTGCTCGAGTTCTTGGCCATCTTCGGCATCCTCCGATGGTGGTGATGAACCAGGATTTGTAGATTTGGATACATCGTTACTCTTCTTTTCAGCAAGCTCAGCAGCACCAAGAAGATCTTGTCGCGCACTTTTGGCTGCGGCCGCATTGCCTCTCGACGGCGCGAGGTTGATCTCCTGAAACAACCGCACGAGTGCTACTTGTCGTAAGCGTAAGTCTCGCTCCTCATTGGTTTCCTTTTCCTCAAAAAGACCCGTTGAGCGGTTGTCTGACATCTGAAATCCTGCGTTCTGGAAGGCGGACCTCATTAAGAAGCACCGTAATTGGAGGAATACGGTGTCATTTGTTCTCAGTCTCTCTGGTGCGTACACACAACTACCTTCAAACCTACAGACTTTCTGATCCATCAACGAAGATATCCAATTTGCCGTGTCTTTGGCCAGCCGTCCAATTTCCGTCCCTCGAGAATCGGTGAATCGCACGATAACGTCTACGCGTCTAGCAGCAGCTGAGTTTACTCGAATCGGTAGAGGTGAGTTTCCCTTGTTTTTTGCTTTAAGTGATGCGCCTGGTGGCTGAATCTTCTGGCGCTCAATCTTAACGACATCTCCGTGATTTAGTAGGTTTGTTCCACTGCGAGTAGCCCATCCCTCAACACCAAATGCACCGATATAGCGACTGTGAGGCATCGACTGCGACAGTCGAGGTCGTGCCGGTGGGGGATCAGGTTCCTTAGAATTATCGGTTACAATTGCCGAAGTATCCCTCGGCAAGCAAAGCGTAGCGATCTTGTTTACGGGTTGTTGAGAGCGATATTTCTTCCATGTCCCATCGAAATACATATTAACAGCCCGTTCGAGATCATTCCCGCAGTTTTCGCCGATCGTTTTTAACGCTTCTGAGTCAACATTATCTCCCACAATACTTTGGAACGTATTCTCGTCAAAATTCATTCCTTGCTCCGTTGCAGAGGTAGGCTCTACCGAATACGTGCCAGAGGCGCTCACTGTTGATACCCGATTAGTAACATCGTCGATAGTCCTCTCTACGAGAGGAGATGTGTTCTGTAGGTAGTGTCGACTTGAACTATCCTCGTCTTCTGGATCTGCGAAAAACCTCCTCTTTTTAGCGGGGGGCTCTCCCGAATCTTCTATACTCATGATAAGCTCATTGGAATACCCGTAAGTCGTGCGTAATGAATTGTGCGTATAAATAAGTCGGTTGACAAAGGGGACGCGATGGAGAAAATTCGATGTATAATGGAGAAAACCAGCCAGTGGAGAACAAGCGGACGTTACTGGTAACAAAAGATTGAATAGTGAAAGTTAGGTAGCGACGATCTTGGCTCTACCTCCTATAGCTTTACAAAATTACTACTATTATGTACCACGGCAAGCACAGAAACGCGCTCCGCCGAAAACTTCCCAATTAGTAATTAATAGATCGAGACGCGACTCTTTCGACGCGATCATCATGTGACCACGTTTTAATTTAAAGTTAAAAGTGGGATGTCCCCCACATCCCGCTGCATGATATCATTTTTGTGCTGAACAAAAGTCACCAACTCCGGAAAAAATTAACATAGCGAGGATTTTTACTTCGCGACTAGAACTTATAATACGATGGATTATTTGATATAAGATCGATTTCTTATGCATCGTGCAACTCGAGCACGCTCAGGCCTTCGATGGCCTAGACATCAGTTACGATTTTCACAAAGATCTTACGTAACCGATGTTGATGTAGATAAGGCAAGGCAGTATTGTGTTGCACAGCTGAGGTAGGGTTTTTGGCGCTCTCTCTGGCGGAATGCTTTAACCATAGACGAATGACGCTAATTGTAGTAGACAGTCCGACTATAATTCTTATTTAATTAGGAACATTCTGCCTAAACAGAGACAAGATGCTTATGATGCGTTACGAGCTTTTAATCTTGAGCTGGTTCGGCTTCCAGAGCTTGTATCAAACCCCACCATTGGCCTGATGAGGATGCAATTCTGGCGAGATGCTGTCAACAACACCTTTGCCGGCAAGCCCCCAAAAGAACCTATTATGATCTTACTTCACAAGGTTATCTCGGAACTCACCGAGATGGGCGGCACACCAAGCTCTATCAAATTCTGGTTACTGCGCCTGATTAATACTCGGGAACAGTATATGGATAACAAACCTTTCACCAGTCTGGGTTCGTTAGAGGAGTACGCAGAGAATACATACTCAACCCTTATGTATTCAAATCTAGCAGCACTCTCTATTAATTCCATGCATATGGACCATTTAGCTAGTCATATTGGGAAGGCATGTGGTATTGTGGCTATCCTTCGAGGTGTCCCAGTTTTAGCAGCCCCCTCGCCGCCTGTTAAGTCACCCTATGGAGCTAGTGTAGGCAGTGGTAGGAACCCAGTCCTATTACTACCGCTAGATGTCATGGCGGAGACGGGTCTGAAAGAGGAAGATGTCTACCGACATGGCCCTCGTGCCGATGGTTTCCAAGATGCCGTCTTCAAAGTCGCAACTCGGGCTAATGATCACCTGATCACTGCGAGAGAGATGTTGAAAAACCTCCGCGCAGGACAGAGCCCCGGTCATGAATACGAACATCACGGCGAAGAGCAACACGAATACCCGTTAGCGACTCATGGAGACGACGACACTAAACGAGATCTCCAACGAGGATTCAACGTCATGCTAGAAAGTATCCCAGCTAGCGATTACTTGATGCGACTTGAAGCCCAGAATTTCGATCCCTTTACAGTGACCAGCAGTTGGAAGCTCCCGTGGCGGTTATGGAGAGCAATAAAGACGAAACAAATTTAATTCATTGCGGTACATATCTACAACAGTCTAGAATGTTAAATAAATCCCGTAAGCGGCTGCCGTATACGTATCCGATAAGAGCTTTGGCGATCCTTAGCGCACGGTCATTGTCAGCATCACGGTTGTCTTCATTTTAATTATGGGCCATGTTATTATTAATCAAAACTTATATCATACCCTTCTCATCCGTCATCCTGGTTAACCTTCTGTTTCCCTTCTATGTATTATGCATCGTGTGTCTCTAGCCACGGCAATATCGGATCATGCTTCTTACTTCTGCACTCAGCCCATTGGGCTTGTTGCTCGTAAGCGCGTTAGGGGTTCGCGCTGCCAGTGTGCAATACAACTCATCAGTCCCTATAAATCAGCGCAGCGCTCAGGAGGTCATCGCACAACTCAAGCTCATCCCCAACGACGAGAAAGGCTATTATGTACAGACCTTTGAGGATGCCGACTCGGTTACAAGAAGCCCAGGCAATAGCACTCGGTCTGCCAGCACCGCCATTTACTATCTGCTCGAAGGCGCGGCAGGGTCATCCTACTGGCACCGTGTCGACGCCGTCGAAGTCTGGCACTACTATGCAGGCGCACCGCTGACTTTGTCGCTATCGAACAACGATGGCAAGCCCCCGGTGGACAAGGTGCTCGGACCAGATGTCTTCAACAATGAGCAGCCGCAGGTGGTCATTCCGAAAGGGACATGGCAAAGTGCCCTTTCAAGTGGGAAGTGGACTCTAGTCGGCACTACCGGTAAGAACATCATGCTCCCTTATATACTACTTCTGTTAACAAGCTTCATAACTAATTGCGGTATGATAGTGGCCCCAGGTTTCGTCCCGGATGGCGTAGAACTTGCACCACCTGATTGGAAACCGGATGGAGCATAAGGGTGGTATACGAAGCGTAAGAACACATGCCACATGCTAATACTTGGCACAAAATACCTGTCTTATATCAATGTCACAAAATCAATATCGGAGTTTATATCATGGATTTTTAAGCCAAATATTCGTAACGTTTAGCTTCTATATCTACCTCTTATCTTACACGAGACGTTTTATAAAACGCAAATAATTTACCTTAACTTCCAATCCCCTTCCCCGAGAGGCGCGCTGAGTGGGAGTCATTCATGATCCATGAGAGAACCCCGGAACGAATTCAATCCCAGGAAAATGAATATCTCTTCCTCTCAGCCCATGTTTCTTGATAAACCCTCCATTTTGTCAACAAACTTTCGAGGAAGTCCTTGCCTTTCATCATCACCGCCATAGTATAGACCTGCTCGAAATATAGAGGAGAATCTACACTTGATACTTTGTGAGAAAATATCTCACGCCCTGGATTCGCGGAATCATTTGGATCATGTATCCTGTAAAAAAAATAATTCGTTAGGTCCCCGTCCATATACAATTCCGGTTCAAGCCAATATTCCAATGTCTTTTCTCCGACTTCTGTGGGGTCGGCGCCGTGGTGCATTAGTCTAAGTGCTACGAGGCAGTCCAGTCTCCATCGGTCGTCCTCAGTCTTTATTATCCGCGAATGGCGTAGTGCTTCTTCTAGCAGAGTCAACCCGCCTAACCGGGATTGAACTCTGATCGAGCCAACAGATATACCAGAGTTGACGATAATGTCAATCAAATCAAGTTGAGCGGTATATGCCAAGCTATCGCAAGGACCACGGAATGAAGTACCGCAGACAGCTTGCTGGAGGCGTATACTAGAAAACTTATACCCGAAGCTAAGGAGACACTCTGCGGTACGAGGACAAATGCGCTCTGAGGCCTGTTTCATTATATGATCTATCCAGCTTATTTCTTTGTTTCCGTTGGCTTTCTTAGAGTGCTCGACGTCCAACAGAATAGCTCTTGTGATTTCCAGGAAGTCGTCGCTGCGGGCAGCCTGTCGAGCAATTTCGAAGCTAATAAGCGACTGGGGTCCCGAGTTTCTAAAGAGGTCAAATAGATGCCAGCTCAACGCACTTTTGTAAGGACTCCTTCCACTTCTCAAGGCTCGGGCAGTCAGGGTTTCAAGCAAGTTTGTCTTATCGAGGGGTGGTATGGTCGTGGCATCAAGAAGGCGTTTGATAACGCTAAAATCCCTGATTGGATGGGTATCGCCTTGACGAGCAATACAATGAAGCACTTGCACGATGGCTTCCTGGCCATCATCGGTTTTGAAAAGTGGATGTTGTAAAAGGGTCTCAAGAAGCTGCATACGTCCAAATTCGACGGGCCACCATAGATCTCTATATCTCAGATCTAGCCCATTTCGAAGCATGAATTGTGCGATCTCCTCATCGGCTTCACAAGCAAGGGAAAACGCATCAACCTCTGCTGTTGCGCACATGAAATCATCATCCATTTCATCCCTTACATCCATTCCCGCCCCAGCACTCTCATATAGATGATATCGAGTGATACGCTCGGTGAAGTTCTGTTTCCTAATTTCAACACCGGATTCGAGAAGTGTCTTTATTACGTCAAGTCGTCCTGATTTAGCAGCTACAAGCATGGGCGAAGGGAAATCCCTGTATTCCAGGTAATCATGAAGGATATCATCCATACGATTACCAGTGCAATGCATAGGATGCCTCAGGCCTTCGAGCGCACGAGGGTAAAGCCTCGAGTAAATGTCGACGATCTCTTTAATCAAATTTATATCCACTCCTGTCTCAATTGCCCAGTTAATAAGGGGTACACATGACCCTGGAGGCTTCATTTGAAGATACGGACGTTTAAATGCATCTTGATTACCGGACCTAGTGGGAGGTTCAAGCCGGGAATATTGCGAAACGATCCCGTGCCTCCAAACAAACGAAGCCCACTCACTCCTCCTGCTGGTCTGAAAGTATTGAATATCATTAATCAAATATTCCCTGAGGCCGATCGCGGAGTTCGCACGCTTGCATATGCAGGCGTAGTTAAGCAACTGAGATGGCGTAGTGAAATTGCTTGCTACCTTTTGGATGACCTCAGTTGGCCAGTTCGGGAAGCCACAGTTGGGTTTATTAGGACAAGCCATCGTAGTCGGAATTATAGTTGATCGTAATGAATGAGTAGATGATGTTTCTTTTAGATTAATGCTGTAGGTTGATTTATCTCTTTATCGAATATTAAGCACTAGGAAATTTGCTCGATTTATATACTATAGAATTATATCAGTATCTTATATATAATAGTTCAGTTAGGCGAAAAGTAACAGAGATATTATTTACAGAACAAAGCTATTGTTATAAATAAAGACTTGAACCTGGATCAATTAACTACATAGAAGTAACAAATGCTTGACGAATTGTAGCGTATACCTAATGCCTACTACGAATAACGATGTAGTTCCCCAGATAAATTATAGACAATGTATTGTTATCATACTCTACTTGTAATTAACTCTTCATCGTTGTCACGAATTGTGGTAAACAAGAACGTTGAACCGCTAACAAAATGTTATCTACGAAGGTACGACACAAATCTCTCAGCATTACTCCATCGCAGTAAAGTAAAATACCTAGGTAGACTATTATAGATCTGAAGGAAATTGTTCGGAAGCTCAATAAATTAATCCCTCCTTAATTATAATTTGTTGTTGTAGTTGCGGAAAGAGTAAGGCTCTTGCGAATACAGTCGAGCATGGAGCAGCGCTGTTATTTATCAAGTCCTAAAAACATTCGGTAGGTTTGGAAGGGTTGCCATCTCAATTTTCAAGTAGCGTCACTAATATGAAATCAAGGGTGTAAGGTAGGATTATACAATTATTGCCTACGGGCTCGTAATAGTTGCGTCACTTATGGTAACAAGCACTTTTCTCCACCCCTTTTACTCGAGTACCCAAACAAAGGGCGACTTAAGGATCTTGGGGGCCGGGAGTTAGATTTTACTACAGATAATATCATTGCTTCTGTGTTTTAACCCTCAACTTTTATGTTTCCCCCTCAGGGAGTTGATTATAGTCGTGTACGGTGTCTCCTGAAGCGACTCAAATTACGTTCATCCTTGGCATTTCGTGAAACATCCTCAATGGCGCTGTATAATGCGTCTAACAAAATGGACTCCAAAGCTAAGAAATTAGCCCTCTTCGAAGGTGCTATGAACAAGGTCTACGGGCCTTATCCTACAGATACGCCCGACCCTGCATCATGGCAGCCTCCTGCGAAACCCGGAGCTGGAGGACATCGTGGGCGATATCTCTGGACCGACGCTTTCGGGGTTATTAACTTCATCACCCTATCCCATGAGAAGGACGGTATTCAGTCACAGAAACTCTACTTAGGACTAGCCAGGCGCTTGGCAGATAAAGTTCACTCTGTTCTCGGCCGCACACGGGATGGGACTTCGCGCCTCCGCGGCGCGACCGACGAGGAACCTTTGAAAGGCGGCTTACGGATCGGGAAGCTCGACGCTGAGGGTCCGGATGGCGACGGCCAATATCATCACTATCTGACTCTCTGGATGTTCGCACTGAACCGACTGGCCCTAGCAACAGAAGAGCCGCATTGGAATGACCTTGCGGTGCAACTAGCCAAGGCCATCCATCCGCATTTTATGACCAAGAAGGGCGGTCAGGAGAGCATGGTGTGGAAGATATCGATGGATATGCGCCACGTGCTAGTCGATAGCAAAGGGAACCTTGACGATGTAGACGGACTTGCAGTGTACCAGTTACTACAAGAAACGGCCGAGCGCTTTAACAAAAGGAATGCTACCGATAGCTCAAGCTCGTCAAGGCTAGATACAGAAATCGAACACTACCGTCGTATCATGGCCAGCCATCCCAAACGTCTATCAGGGGACCCGCTTGATCTAGGGATGAGCCTATGGATCAGTCACTTGGACAAAGAAGCAACGTGGTCGCGCGAGTTAGCCAAACAGGGCCTCACCATCGCGCGCAACCGCTTCCTGCCCGCAGCCCAGAGCCCCGTCAGCGTCGACGAGAAGCATTCGTATCGCCTTGCATTTCGCGAATTTGGCGGCTGCATGGGGATTAAATGCTACGTTGACGACCCGGCCCAACCATTGCATACAGCTGCCGAGGCGGTGCTGGATGCTTGGGAAGGCAAGGTCCTAAATGCGGCGGATGGAGACTTGCGGCCGATTAATTTGGTCATGTACGCTGCAGCGCTAATTCCTGGCGGTAAGTCTATACTGGGCAATATTTTTTTCTTTTTTTTCCTTTGCAGGCTGTGTTTCTTTGTATTGGGTTGTTAGGGCTAACGGATACGATACAATAGCTTTTCATAAAGATTATATGGGTTTGGGAAAGGGGTAGAACCCCTTATATTTCATTGGGACCCTCGTCGTTTATGGCTTTATGGCTTTGTGCTCCCACAACCAAACTCGAAGCTTAATACATAGGTGTACTGAAAAGTCTAGCTCATTTAATTATTGCTTCGTCTTTACTGGTGATTTACCCCTGATGTAAATAGGCGGTCCGTAAAAAGTATATCATCTCCCCTCTAGACAGATTTGCCTCAACAAGAAGTAAAATAGTATCCTTCTTTTTCTGATGTTTCCTCCCTTTTAAACGATATTCACAAGAATGATTGCTCACAAATCCGAACAAGCCATTTCCTTAAATGTTTGAGCGTTTATACCTCTTCCCGTTGCTCCTGTCGTTCCTGCGGATTTAAAGACCTTGAAAGAGGCCTTGCGAGAGGCCTTGCAACGGGATCTAATAGATCTTCGAGGTTGTACAGGAAATACAGGTATACAGGTCTATATAAGGGGCCCTCCCTCCCATCCTATCCATTTTTTTTCTTTCTTCTAAGTCTTTAACTTTTCAACCGATCAATCAGCTAAGCAGTCAGTCAGTCAGTCAGTCAGTCAGTCAGTCAGTCAGTCAACTAGGCAGCTAGTCAACCAGTCAGTCCCCTAGACTTCTAATCTTCTAGCTAATCACATATATAACCAGTCTCTTAGCCAGTCTCCTAGCCAGTCTCCTAGATAGCCTCCTAGATAGTCACTTAAATACCTAGGTAGTCTTATATAATCAATCTCTCAATTAGAATTGTATTCGTAGCTATCGTAATCTAACCAACTGACTGCCTGCCTGCCTGCCTAACTGCCCCCGTACGTGTCCCTGTTTGTACGATATACGTACCTAATTTATACCTTCCCGTCGACTCCCGTTGACTCCTGTGGCTTCCCGTAAACGTGGTAAATATTTAAGACCGACTCGGACGTTTGGACTGTCTGATATTAAACAAATCAAACGTTTAAATCGGGGTTAAACGTCTAAAACAACTCGAATCAATAAAAATTATTACTCAACGTTTACTTAACCCTGGATTCTCGAACGTTTAAAGACGCAAATGGTAAAATAACAATCGATTAACGGTTTATTGGCCCCACCAGATTTTAGTACGGTAGTACGGTACCGAATCGTGGGGAAAGTGTTTTGTATCACACTAACTTTGCTTAGCTTACAGGCATATGATTTATGATTTTATCAACGTAAGGTCCAGGAATCGAATCCGGATAAAACAACGGGCCGTTACATGCATAATTGTCTACGGGCCAACTTCGGTCTCCCTACTTTTAACCAATCAGTTCAAAGTCAACATTGCGCAGGAACTTATCGAAGCTTTAGAGCTATCAACTGCTAAACTTGGAAATTTTATTAATTGAACTCAGCCTAGCCAGCAACTAGACGCAATCAGACACAATCACCGCCAGTCTGAGGTTATCCACGATGCTGTGCTCTCGTAAGTGTTCAATATAATATACTACACCATTTTTCATATTTCTAACGCGATATAGTTTCCGGCGAAGCTCCTCAAGAGCCTGTTGTTTCTAAATTATCAGGTATGATAAAGTCGCTTTGTTTGGTATACTGTTTAACTAAATTAATATCATCTAGGCGCTGTATTTGAGAAGCGACTGATCGAGAAGTATATCGAAGAGAATGGAAAGGATCCTGTGAGCGGGGAGGACTTAACTCTCGACGACCTTTTACCTATCAAATCTTCACGCGTCGTGCGACCCCGACCGCCTACTCTCACTTCCATACCGGCCCTCTTATCTACCTTCCAAAATGAATGGGACGCGCTGGCACTAGAGACGTACAATATTAGAGAACAGTTGGCGCGAACGAGGGAGGAACTTGCGACAGCCCTCTACCAACATGATGCGGCCGTCCGTGTTATTGCGAGATTGACCAAAGAACGGGACGAGGCCAGGGATGCGCTGTCTAAGGTGACCGTATCAGCGGGCGGCGCAAACAATGGCGATGCTATGGCGGTTGACGCTGAAGCTCTACCCGAGGAACTAGCAGCTAAGGTGGATGAAACACAAGCAAAGTTCGTACTGCGATTTTCTTCCATTTGTATAATATAGCTAACATACCAACAGACTATCTAAGAGCCGAAAGAAGCGACCCGTTCCGGAGGATTGGGCAACAGCAGAGGATATTGCTACGTTCGCAGTCGAAACCACAAACTCCCTCCCCGTCCCCCAAGCTACAACGGTTAGTGTCGAGGCTGCCTATGCCGCTGTGGGTGGATTGCAGGGCGATGTTGCCATCTACTCGATCGATTCGGGCAATGTCGAGCGTTCATTACAAGTTAACGAACCCGTGACGGATTCGATATGGGACGGCTCCAGAGTCTTCTTCTCGACTTCTAAGGGCTCCGTAAAGGTATTTGAGAATGGCAGCGAGATCGCGTCATTCTCCGATCACGCTGGCCCAGCTACCGGTCTTTCCATTCATCCAAGCAAAGAAATATTGGCGTCTGTCGGCTCCGACAAGAGTTTTGTATTTTACGATCTGGCCAATTTGCGTCGCGCCACGCGTGTGTATACCAATGCCAGTAAGTTAACATTCCGAAATGTTCGTATTATTAATGTTGTCGCTAAATTCTATTGTAGCCTTAACCGCTTGCGCCTTTCATCCCGACGGCCATATCTTTGCTGCCGGTACCAATTCCGGCGAGATCAAGCTATTCATGACTAAGACCGGGGAGGAAGCAGCCTCGTTCCACTTGGGGGCTCCAGTGCAAGCCATTACTTTCTCTGAAAACGGCTTCTGGTTTGCAGCCACGGCAAAGGGACAGACTACGGTTACTATATTCGATCTGCGCAAAGAGGGAGAAGCTGCACAGGTCAAGGTGTTAGATATCGGCAGCGCAGTACAGGCCCTCGCATGGGACTATTCGCAGCAGTTCCTCGCAACAGCAGGGCCCGCCGGAGTTACAGTACAGCAGTACAGCAAAAGCTCCAAGTCCTGGTCAGAACCCTTACGAGCAGCAGTCAGTGCAGTCAGCGTCAAGTGGGCTGCAAATGCAAACAAGCTTGTGGCTGTTAATGGAGATGGAGTGATTAGTGTTCTTGCTGCTAAGGAGTCGTAATTTGGGCTATAACCTCGTCTGGGGATGATGCGAACAAATAAGAAGAGAAATATGGGCTAGGTAGGCAAAAGCTATGCTTTATATCACAACCAGCACTGGATGATAGCTTAGGGTTTATCGATGTATAATATGGATAGGTGATGGATCACCAATGATACATTCTTGCGAGAAGTTGAAGTTTTCTAATGTCATTAGGGTGATATAAATAAATCAAACGGGCCTATCATAAAAAGCATAGCTAAGGAGAGGACAATTCTAGTACCTCGAGCATTATCTAATGTATAGGTACCTACCTATCTATATGCCTTCATTTTACAAGAATATACCCCATGTGTAATAGATAATTATACCCAATAATCAAGGTACGCAGATATCGTACGCTCAAGTAGTATTCCTCATGGAGAATCTTCATAAGTCTACCTAACATGAGTTGTATGAGTTATACATTTTTGATTTAAAATGTACATAGGTCTGCGTTAAATGTGCTCTTATTGGATAAAGCTGCATATGTACCTAAAATACATCATAAAGCTGCACTCAAACGAAACAGCCTTAGCGCGTAAGGCTTCTTGGGTGCGGCTGTTTACCAGCTACGTGGGGTAGAACTACCTTGTCAGCTATCGGGGTTTAGATAACCGAATAAAATAAGCGTATTCCGTAGGTGCAATACCAAGGTACCTACGATTTGGTAATGCGGCGTCATCCTTGTTGTAAGATGTAACTACATGGTACCTGACAACTGGAAACCCTTGCGCACGTACGGCAGGTAAGATCTAACTGCAAGGCTCGCGTTAATGTGAATTTTGCCATTGAACGTTGCCATAGCTTCCTTCCTATCTGCACTTGTTCCCACAGCAAACCAACTCAAACCTACCTAACTTAGGTCTTAGGTTCACTTTTCTTCGCCTCCCATTATTCCTTCCTTTTCCTTTCACACATCACCCAAGTTCAATAAAATAACCGCTGTCGCAACTTCGTCGTCACTTCCCGACGTCTACAACGCGGCGGCAAGCATACGTCAACGGAGAAACACTACTCACCTATCTCAACCCTGTTTATGAGGCAGGCAGTGTCCGTTGACGCGTGCTCAGTAAAATGATAGCGCGATATTAATTACCCTACCAGCTACCAGGCTACATACCTATCTGTAACCTCGGTCCCGTGAGGCCGAATCAATCCGGTTGGTAAGTTTTCGCACAATCTTACATTCTTTCAAGTTTGCACAGTTCATGCCTCGAACCATCCAACAATACACGTTGCTCTGCTACTTTTTCATTTACTGGCCACTAACATTTTTGCCAACCCAGAGCCATTAAAGTGATTTTGATATGGCCGAAATCGCCGATTCTGATCTTCCGGATTCTTTATCATCGACCCCTCCCGGCTTTGTTGCGACTCCTACGTTATCCCTTCAAAGTATAGAAGATGATTCGGACTCTATTATGACCGAGTCTTCTCCTAGTATCCGATCACATCCTCGACATATTTACGACGACCCAAACCCCCCGCATAGCAGCAGCAGCTCAGCTTCTCATATTATATCCTCTCCCATATCGTCCAGTGATTCTAGTGATTCCGAGGGGATCGTTGAAGAATTCATCGACCATTTTTACCCTGACGAATCCTCGGTAGATAGCGACGATCGCCTCTTGGATAATCCATACGGTCATATAAACATCGATGACGATTTATTTGCGTATGACTCAGAAGAAAGCCTATTTGTGAACGATCGCGCTGATAGAGACGGTGATATTGATATATTTGATCAACTATCTCCCGAACTTTGGCCGCCGAGCAGTCCGGAAGATAATAACGCTGTAGAAAATTATAGATCACCCAGGATGGATGGGTTTAGAGAGATAGAGGGCCTAAGGGACGAGTTGGTAGGCTTTGAGGTAGAGCGGGCTGGGAACCACGCGGCTCGGAGACAAAGACAGCAGCAGCAGCAGCAGCAGCAGCAGCCGCAGCAACAGCCACCTCAAAGAGAACCTGAGGTGATCGATTTGACAGGTGACAGTCCTATTCAACATGCACCTCGAAATCGTTTTCAGACTCTACGCGGGCGACGTTCACTACAGCGAGGCACCCCTCCCCGGTTAGAACGCAGTGATGCTAGGTACATGAACTCTCATACCGTTATCGACCTCGTTTCGGATTCCGACGACAACGAACCCGCAGTAATGCCGCAGCCTAGACGAAGCAATCCACCTCCTCGAAATCCTCCTCGCAATCCTCCTCGAGATGAACTTGCCCGAAATCAAAATCGACTACGGCAACAAATGCACCCGGATATCCTACCCGGCCGCCACGCCCTTAATCAGATCCAACATCTCATAAACCATATTCCTCTATTTCATCTCCTCAATAACCAAAACCCTATGGCGAATAACCATGACGATGATCTGGTTATGCTAGGTCATCGTAATGTAATGCCAGATGGGATGCCGCAACCCAATCTTCCCCCGGTGGACCTCGACTACGATGCCCACCCCTTTCCGATGCCCCAGCCCGCACCAGTAGGCGCTAGCCCGAAGCCTGCACATGAGCCCCCGAAAGAGACAAGACCAGGTTTCACGAGAGACACAGGCGATGATGTCGTAGCTATCTGTCCCAGTTGCGACCAGGAGCTAGCATATGATCCGGATGATGATGCGAGCAATGCAGCTACACCTTCCAGAAAAGCTCGCACGAAGAAAGACAAGGCCGAGCATCATTTTTGGGCCGTCAAGGCCTGCGGACATGTAAGCATTAATGCACCTACCTGCCTAAAAAATTATTTTTTTTTTGGTGTCCTAACATATCTTTAGGTCTACTGCAGGAAGTGCTACGAGTACCGCAAATCCACGGCCAAGAATCGCGTCCCTGTAGGTTTCCGACCTGACCCCAGCGGCGCCAAAAACAAGGTGATCTGCGCCGTCGAAGATTGCAACTCGGATGTGAGCGCGAAGGCTGCGTGGGTCGGCATCTTCCTGTGATGCATTATTTTCACATTACTCCTCCGAATCGAGTTGATTTGGTCTGGTTCGGGGATACTGGGTACTCAACATAAGACGATTCTACGGCGTTGCGATAATTCTCTATTACTCATATTTGCATCATAAGGCGTTCCGTTAAGGCAAAGGTATAAAGGTGGGAACTACGGTCGGAAGGGAATTCCGAGGTCGATATCCTCACACTTTGTTTGTGACTTAGGCGCTTTTTCTTTATCATTTCCCCCCGCGTGGTCTGCGGCGTTTGTATTCTTACAGACCCAGACTTGATTGTACTTACTGGCCTTCCCATATACCTAAGACCTGAGGCCTATCGGCGTAGGACGAGATACGGTGGATATGACAGATGGGAAGGGTATGTTTTAGTTGCTTAGGTCGCCTCGCGTCACGCTGTATTCTAGCCTACTAGGTGGTCCATAAAAGGCCTTCGGCCAGCCTGCATTAGATAGGCAATAGACGCATCGTCGTGTTCTGAAAATAGGCTTGTCGAAATTATGACTTGTATTTCCAATGACTTATTTTCTAGCAGTATTTGTAGGAGGTATGTCAAATTCACGGAAGGGCAAGGCTGTCCGCCCTAAGTACCAAAGGCAATGAGTATAAGAGAGTAAGTACTATGTAAAATAGAATAATGGAATATATTAGACTGAGAGGTAAGGCAAGTAAGCGATAAACGCATTCCAAGGCTTTACGTAGGCGAAGAACGGATAGGAGTTTTATAAGGCGCATGCTTTAATTGTGTACATGCATGCATACGTAGAAATATGCCTAATATACGAGTATAATTCCTCAAGGAGCCGGCTCGGTCTTAGCCGTAGCTGCCGTATCTACCGTAACTGCCGTAGACAGCTAAATATATGATCAATCCTACGCAACTTACGGACTTACGCATAAGGTACCTACACCTACGTAAGTTATTGTCTGCGGGTATTACTTAACTTAATAGCAGGGATCCCAAGGTTGCAGGATTAGTGCTGACACAAATCGCGGACCCGACGATCTTGTTGGTCCCGACCTTTTTCTTTTTACAAGAGGGCCACTGCACTGACTCTTTGAACAGAAATATCTTCAAATCGCTTAGCTGAGAAAAAGGAAGCTCCCTATTATTACTAATATTCTCGTACCTACAAAGATCTTAGCCTAGTTAGTGATTATAGTTGCTCGAACCCCAACTCATTCTCTCTCTCTATTTACATCAGCAATTTACATCAGCATCAATGAAGCGACTCTATTCAACCATTATAGACCGCCTCGATTGATATACTCATATATCACGTATATCCCGTATTTCTCTCAGATGGTCCATCAGTTGCCAACTATGTTCACCACTTTCCTAGGTCCGTCTCCACGATCTAGTGAATCCGGTCCGAACTCCGCTTCTCCGAATGGGTCTCAGCCTCCACGGCCCCGGCAGAAACGGAGTCAGGTAGCGCGCGCTTGGTAAGTTTACTACTATATACATCTATACGTCTATACGTCTATACGTCTATGCATCTATAAATTCATAAATTCGTACCTTCATACCTTCATACCGTCGCTCTTTTTACGTCATCTTGTGTTGACTCTGCCTAGTGATTACTGTCGCGTACATAGAATCAAGTGCGATAATAATCATCCATGCCTCAACTGTCAGACTAGAGGCGGTCAGTGCAGCAATGACCGCACAAATGGGGTCCGCACTCTCCCACACGCTTTCCGCGAGATAGAGCGGCTTAAGCAACGCAACCAAGAACTTGAGAAGGAGCTCGAAGAGGAACGAAGCCGTAATAGAAATCAAGTCGTTACCCCGACCGGAACCTCTAGCTCTCAACTTCCAACTCCCCCAAATATCTCATCTTCGTCAAGTATCTCTATCACAACCCCATCGGGCCCTTCTTCATATGATGCCGTATCTTCCAGGAGATACTGGGAAGGTATCTATACTAACACAGCCAGATCCGCATCAAAAACTTGGTACGGGCCTGCATCATTACTCTACTTCATCAGTCGTCTGAATGCCTTCTTGGCTTCAACATTGCAGCAGCATCTTCCCGAAAACTCATTGCAACCAAACTCGGCTAGTAGACTGCTCGATGGCCCTACGAGCCCTCCAGATAAACATACAAATGAGCATGATCAAGTACCACCGGACGATCCCATTAAGGCTAAGGAGTACTTGACCGCTACGCAGGAAGAATACTTCCTAGACTTATATTGGCAGTCGCATCACACTTCTCTCCTCGTCCTCGATGAAGATGATTTCAGGCGTCATTATAAATCATTATGGGTCGGATCAAGGAAAAAGCGCAAACCTTCAGCCCTTGTCGATATCGTTATAGCCTTATGCATGCAGTATGGCATGGCACGAGGTCGGGGTAATAATAATTCGGTATTGGGGAATGCCAATATCGATACCGATGATGCGACGCTCGCCGGCCGTTGGCATTATTGCCGCTGTCAAAATCTTCTAGCCTGCGAATTGGAGAGTCCTACAATATCAACTTTGCAGTGCAACATATTATCCGTGGTCTGGTTATGTTGTGCTTCGTTTCAAAATATGGCGGATAGTACCTTGGCCGTCACGGCACGCACAGCCCAGATGCTCGGCCTCCATCTACCGCCACCACAAAGTATGCCCCGACGCGAGAGGGAGATGCGAAAGCGCCTATGGTGGTCGATTTACGTCGCCGAGACCAAAACTAGCATGAAGTTGGGCCGACCATTTATGCTCCACCTGTCGCATGCGAGTTGTGGCCTGCCAGCCGACGACCACGAAGCCGCCGCGCAATCAGGGTCAGGTTTCGCGCCTTTAGATGATGATGTTACCTGGCTTAGCTGGAATTTACACAACACCAAGCTTATACTTGCTGCCCGCGACGTATACACCGCTTTTTACGATAAGTATCCGGACTTTGTCGAGAGCGACGGTAGCCAAGCGATTTATGACGCGCCGGCGGCCATGGAGACGTATGCTGAGTTCCTTATCATGCGCATGAGGGCATTGGAGCAGTGGGTTAAGGATGTGCCTGACGCATTAAAGACCCAGCGTAAGAACCACGGAATCCCCTTTTCAACGGACCTCTCGCCGGTAGAGATCGAACAGTTCGCCCCGCTCTGGGTGCAACGCCAGCGTCTGCTATTGGAATTATTATACCACAATCTCTGCACAAATTTGTATCGACCATTTATATCCTTCAAGCGGTCCCCATACTCATTAGTATCATCTGAGTCTTCATCGCTTGCAGAATCTTGTGCTCGCAGATGCGCTAGCCACGCTATGGCGCTCACACATATCATGCGGCAAATATTATCAACAACAGATATACTTACTGGCTGGCAAGAAGCTTTCCAATGGGAATGGAATGTCGCCATGACTCTGGTCGGCTTTGTCCTGTCTCATCCTCACGACGAACTAACACGAGCGGCGCGAGAAGCTATAAGTGTTTCAGTTGATGCTCTGGGCATTTTTGGAAACAGCTTTTCCGTAGCCGCAAGTGCGGCCCAACTGATACGTGAGCTTAGTGACAAAGCCGACCATATGATTATGCCACAGCCGATCAATGAAGGAAATAGACTTATAACTCAGGAGGGCCAGCCCATTACCATGATGCCCCAGAACGAACAGGAAAGTACAGTCATAGGTCAAACGGATGTTGGATTCCCTATGTTTGATGAGGACACTATCAATATAATGCAGGGTATCCTAGCAGAGTCAATGGACTTGGCTTTTGCTGTTGACGGTTACAACACTACGAATGTTTTATGGCCGAATATAGATCCTACAGAATAATAAGCCGTATATGTAGAAGCTGTAATAATAAAAGCAAATGAAGCCTTTTATATCTAGTTGAACAAAATGCATTCTTGGCTCGCTAGAGCAAATGCAGAGCTACTTTGCCAGTGTTTAAAACTCTCATATCCTTGAAATTCGAAGGTAGGTCTTGAGTATAAACATATTGGTATGTATTATGTGTTATACTTTTATACTTTATTAGTTACCCACGACAACTTCAAGTAGTGATGTCACTTATTCAGCCCATCCGTTCACGTCCCAAAGCCTCGAAGCACAAAATCATAAGCCACCACTTCAATAATCACAGGGGGATTAAGATCTATTTCGCGGATAACTGTGTTGCTGCAAGCCTTGCTTCTACTGGCATTAACATCGAATCTCGGGTATTCCGGGTACTAACTACACTTTAATCAAGACCAGTTTCTAGAACAGCAAGAGTATAATCTCGCCTCGAGATATACTATAGGAGGTTAATTTTTAGTTTATATGGTATAGGTAAGGTATTCTATGGTATTATAAATCTTCATCAACTCCTCAAATTAAAACACAGTGCCCGATGGGCCCGTCGTGCAAAGCCCGTGCTGGTACCACGGAAACGAGATGCCCACAACATCTAACCGGAATGCATAAAAATGGGACGCTTGAAGCTTCACTATGTATGAGACTATATTGAGACTGTCACCTTTCACCGCGTGACTCATTGTATCGATAGGTAGGTACCCATCTATATCTACTTATCCACAAGTGACGACTTTCTTTCCAGTTCCGTTATGATGAAAACGATGCACTAAGCATACCCCTGCGATTGTAGTTCTTTCTCCTTTACATGTGACTTTCATTTTACCCGACTCCAACTTTATTATTTTTATTTTTGTTAGATGCACGCTCTTCTGGCCGATGGACACGCATATGTATATGTATATGTAGAAGGTAGCATGCAGTGGAGCAAAGCCACGTATAAACTTACCAATAGGAGCGACTCCTTTCCTCTGCAGCAGACGTAGTGTTTTCCGACATATAAGTGGGGCCGGAAACCCGGGTATCCGGATATGCGGAGCAGCGCCGTGGGCAAAGAGCCGCACTTTCCCAGAGGAGTTACGGAGGGGGGCGCGATAAGACAAAAGACGGCCGTCTTGGGTTGAGTCATAGTGGGTAATGGGTATCGATCGATGTGATATTTGACCTGCGACCCGCCCCAAGCCAAGAAAACAGTAGGTCGAACCTATGGAGATAACTGTACCACGGACGGGAAATCTCTGCTGGTGTTTGGGCTCTAAACCCCGGGATACCGCTGCTGCTGCTGTTGCTGCTCTTGGCTGTTGGATAATCGTCTTTGATGCCACATGCGGCGTCATCATAAGATATGGGCGAGAGATGACGGTCCAACAAAGGGTCTTGCTTGGTGTATATCTACGAGATGCTGCCATTTCAAATAAAAGGGTAGTTAGTTAATACACATATCTAACTTATCTACTTAAATACCTAAGCCAGGCTTTCTCCCGTGCTGGTGTAGTGTTCGCTCCCTAGACGCCTAACGAACGAAGAAGAAGAAGAAGAAGAAAAAGACAAGGTCAATCTAGGTAGCCAATAGCGATGAGCAACAACAACGACAACATCACCACGGCGCAAAAAACCGAAGAGTCAAACTCCGAATCGACGCAAAACGTCGAGTCCAGCCCGCCAGAGGCCTCAGACCAACAAGTCACGCCGCGCAATGCCTCTCTGCAAGAAAAAACCGAGCCGCAGGAGCGGTCCGTAAGGGGCTTCCGCTGGTTCCTAGTCTGCCTGTCGATATTCTCGGCGAACCTGCTCTTCGGGCTCGACAACACCATCGCGGCGGACATCCAGGGCGCCGTGGCGGAGACGTACCAGAACACGGGGCAGCTGGGGTGGCTGGGCGTGGGGTTCACGCTGGGCTCGGCGGCGGGGATCCTGCCGATCGGCAAGTCGTACGCCATTTTTGATAATCGGTGGGTGTTCATCGCGTGCCTGGCCAACTTCGCGGCGGCCAGCGCGCTGTGCGGCGCCGCGCCCAATATGAACGCTATGATCGTCGGGAGGGTCTGGGCTGGCTTCGGCGGGTCCGGGATGTACCTGGGCACGCTGAACATCTCGACCGCGCTGGTGCTCCCGAAGGAGCAGCCGGTTTATGTGGCGGGGACGGGGTTTATTTACGGCGCGGGGGCGATTCTCGGGCCGGTTGTGGGAGGTCTGCTTGCTGATAGCCCGGCGACGTGGAGATGGGTACGTGTTGCTCAGCCCCTATCTTGAAGTACCTATCGAATTTGCGGTGTCGAACCCTTGACTAACAAGAAACGATGCGCAGGCCTTCTATCTCAACCTCGTCATCTTCGGCGCCATGTCGCCCATCTACGTGTTCCTGGTCCCCTCCGTGCCGCGCCGGCCGGAGATGTCGTTCCTCGAGAAGGCAAAGCTGATGGACTGGCTTGGCATCCTGCTCAACTCGGCCATGTACTCCTGCTTTACGGTAGCGTTCCTTTTCGGCGGTGTCGAATGGGCTTGGAACGACGGGCGTACCATTACTCTCATTGTCTTGGCATTCGTCCTACTCATCGCCTTCGTACTTACGCAGAAGTTCGCCATTCTCACCGATAAGGTCAACAGGCTGTTCCCGTGCAGCTTTCTGCGCAATCCGCAGCTCGTGCTCATGTATATCCTTATGTTCTGCAGTGGTCTAAGCTTGTTTGTTGCGGTTTACTATATCCCGTTTTACTACCTCTTCGCGCGCGGCGAGAGTGGTACTCAGGCCGCCGTCCGCTTGTTACCTTATATCTGTTTCTACGTCGCGGCTATCCTGATCTGTGGCGCCGTTATGGGCCGCGTTGGCTACCATATTGTGTGGTTCCTGCTCTCGGGGCTGTTCCTTACGGCCGGTTCGGCAGCTATGTACACCGTGGACCCTTACACGTCGAATGCGAAGATCATAGGGTTTTCAATCCTTCTGGCGGTCGGAATGACGGCGTCTCAAGCGCCATATGCCATCGGCCACCTACTAGTAGAACCGGAACTCGCAGCGGATCTAATCCAATACATCAACATCTCGCAAGGCTCATCGCAACTAGTTGGTCTGGTTATTGCGAGCGCGATCTTCCAGGCCGAAGCGTTCTCCGGAATCCGGGCGATCTTGCCCGCGGACCGCTACACTGACGCAGATATCCAGGCGGCGGTTGCGGGCGCGCGAAGCGAGGTGCTAACGCAAGCGTCGCCTGAGATTCGCGCAGCTGCTATTGCCGTCATTGTCGAGGCCATCGATAAGATTTGGATTCTGGTCATTGCTGCTTCTGCCATATTTACGATATGCACACTATTCCTGACGCGCGAGCGCTTCGTCAAGCCTAAGGGGCGGCACGGCGAGGACAGCGGACCTGCGATGATGATCTTCTAAGGATCCTCTCGCACGATCCAGGGGTGGAAATTCACATCCGGGATGTGTTGGAGGCAATTAAATGTCCCTCTTCGTATTAGCTTACTACAGGTAGAAAGGCAGATTTTTGGTGCCTGTTGTCGAATATTCACTCATTCAATGGCTGCTCCTAACTAGCTGGCTTAGATGATAGACTGGGGGTAGTCACATACCGGCTGTCCTAAAAAGGGGTGATGGTACCTACAGGTGATAATTTAGTTCGGGTTTATACTTCTTTAGGTCCTACTCTGACCATGTTAATATATATGAAAGTCTTTTTATATAGGTATATAACGTTACACTAGAGCTTAATTATAAGTTTATTTATTTATTAGCTATTGTTAAATTTTCCTCGCAAAGAACGTGGAAGTTATACCTAGTTCCTATAGCGCCTATGGTACTATATATGTGGACACTCTATATGTGTACCTAAGAGGTAGTCTGTATTGGTAGAACAAGTTTCTAAGTTCCATAGCCTATTATATTGTCATAGCATTATAGTGTCAAGTATCATTTGATAGCTTACACTTTTACGATATTTCATACACATCGCCGAATGTCTTTGGTCTTAGCACTAGCTTCGCACGGCTTTATCGTAACCGCCACAGTATCTTTTAAAAACAAATACGGTCACTAACAAAGGGGCGATCTAAGATATTTCAAACGAAACGTCCATCGAATATTGAAAGTAGCTACTTTACACAGGTATCACACGGACTAGGATGCCTTCCTTTTATAGTAATTTTTCAAGCCATACCACACGATCATTGGCTCGGAAAGAATCCCTCATCATCGACTGTGTCTCGATCACAATATAACACCCAAAAGGTACGATGGAGCGTATCAAGCAAGTATTAATAATGTTTGATGAATAATTCACCAAGGCTCCGCCAAGTATTGGTTTTAAAGTATCTATGTAATTTATCACTTATGTAGCTACAATTCTACGTACAAAAATTCTCATCTTTAGCGGACTTTACATAACTCCGCTTAAATTCCAAAACAATAAATGTAATACAGTTGCACAAGATTCGCATCATCTTCCTTTACTTTCTTCTTCTAGTATCGATATACGCTCTATAGTGGGTTTCCGCACGTGGTGACTCCGGTTCTCCTTTAGGCAATAAGCATGAAAAGCGGTCCACTTCATCTCTAGGAAGCAAAGAGCGAAGTAACACAAACTTACAGAAAATCAAGATTTTCGGTGGCTTACGAATTGTCGAAGCCTTAGGGAAGCACTCCTTAGTTGGTCCCTTGTAACGGACTTGGGGAGCTACGATATGACGCCAGTTCGAGGTTCGAAATAGGTAGGGAGTAGGGAGTTCAGATTAGAATAGTCAAAGGTAGAAGTCATATAAAGAGCGATGTGGCTTCTTGTTATGTTCCCGGATTGTGACACGGTACCTAGATACTCTAAGATTCGTCCAGCTGTATTCAAACGCAAAGACCGAACACTCCAATAATCGAAAAAAAAAATGTCTCTCCCGAAAACCTTTAAGCGCGCAGTATTCCCCGGAAAGGGTGAGAGCCTCGTAGTCCAAGAAACCCCCCTGGTGCTTCCCGGAGACAATGAGGTGCTGGTCAAGGTGGAAGCATGTGGCGTATGTTACAGCGACTATTATGGCCAATATAACGTATTAGGTGGTGGCTTCCCGATATGCCCAGGCCACGAGATAATTGGCAGAGTTGCAGCTATCGGCGATGGCGTCAAGTTGTGGAAGGTCGGCGATCGGGTCGGCGGTGGCTGGCATGGCGGCCACGATGAGACCTGCAATGCGTGCAGCAAGGGGTGGTATCAGATGTGCGATAACGAAGCCATTAACGGCGTGACGAAGAACGGTGGATGTAAGTCCTTTTGATCCCCATACGCATCTTGTTTTCTGTATGTCTCGGGAACATGAATATTAGCTAATGCATGTTTAGATGGCGAATACTGCATCCTGCGTTCAGAAGCAACCGTCCGTGTCCCCGAGCACGTCGACGCCGCCAAATATGCGCCAATCCTGTGCGCAGGCGTGTCAGTCTTCAACTCCATCCGGAATATGAACATCCCGGTCGGCGAGACAGTCGCCATCCAAGGCCTCGGTGGACTAGGCCATCTTGGAGTACAGTATGCAGCGCACATGGGATACCGCGTAGTCGCCGTCTCCCGAGGCGCGGATAAAGAAAAGTTCGCGCGAGCGTTAGGTGCACACGAGTATATCGATGCGAGCACGGAGAAGGACGTAGGTGCGGCCTTGAAAGCGCTTGGCGGTGCTAGCCTGGTTGTGGCTACGGCTCCTACTGCTGACTCTATGACGCCGTATCGTAAGCAACGAGATATACTCCTTTTGGTGGTGGAAGTTGCTAATTCTTTCTTTAGTGAAGGGATTAGGCATACTTGGAAAGCTTCTAGTGCTGAGCATTCCTGGTGATTTAACTATCGACACTGTTACTATGCTGAAGTACGGCACTTCAGTGCAAGTTTGGCCCTCCGGGCACCAAAAGGATTCCGAGGACGCTATCAAATTCACCGAACTTAAGGGTATCAACTGCATGATTGAGACTTACCCTCTGGACCAGGTGCAAGCAGCATGGGGTACGTTTCTTCTGGCGGATTTATTTTCTCCCCCCTTCGTGTTCTCCGTTTCGCGTGCCATGAATTAGACACCAGCTGACTTAGTGCTGCATAGACGCCATGAAGAATGGTACGGTTCGCTTCAGGGCCGTCATCGTGCCTTGAGATGTCTGCTATCAAGGATCGCAAATAGGGTACAGACGGCGGCCTAGTTGGATATACCAGTAGAGGAAATGCTATTCATAATGGTTTGACTTTCGAAGGCCGAAGTCGTTTAGTATATAGCCCATGATCTCACCTTAGTCGGTTACCAAATAGAGCACGATAGAAATAGAAATAGAAATAGAGAGTTAGAAGTTAAGAGAATACGCGAGGTTAAAACACCCTTAAGGTATCCTTCAAGGTGTCCATCAAGGTTCCGGATGCAACAATACATAAGATCCACATGCAGGATTGGGAGAACCGTAGTTTAGGTACATCCCAACTAGGTAGTATACAATTTTCGCAGTGATTTATTCATCGCGACTCGAAACCTAACAACTTAGAATCTCCTGGACTACCTGTACAGACTGGGGCGTCTAGTAAGGGTATAAAACATAGATGCTTGCTTAACTCAACGCGGGGAAAGTAACTTCCATGCTTAAGAGAATCCCTCCGTCGTAATATCGTGGACGCCTGTAGACTAATGTGCCAACACGATCCATCAAGACACATTAAATCTTGTAATCCGCAGCATCCGAACTTTACATAACACCTCCCCATCAAACCCCAGGAGTTAGGTCCTTAAACCACTTGGGCTCCTCCATCCTCCCCAGATGCACCACCTTCCTGCTCCCGCGCCTGCTGCAGCCTGCGCTCCGAAAGTATCATCTCCGTAATGACCTTATGCCGCAAAAGAATCAGATCCGTCGATGGTGCCCCCGTCCTCTTATCCAGATCATCTCGGAACGCCACCCACGCATCCCTCATCGCTTCCAGATTCTCACCACCCTGCAGTTTCTCCCGGGCCTTGAGTTCTCGGTACCGAATGCGGACTAGGATAGCGCTGAAGTCGACTTCCGCGGGGTCGTTGACGATACGCCCTTCGAGCCGCACCATCATGTTGTTGATCCAGGTTGGAGTCATGCGAGCTTTGTCGGTCGATAGACCGCCTGACATCTCGTATTGATGGTTTCCCGACCGGGTACCGAAGCTAAGGAACGGTAGCAAAGCCGAGGTCTTCGGGGCCTTGCTGTGAGGACCAGCCTCCTTCAAGTCCCTTATGAAAGAGGGCTCCCTACGGCCTTCGAGCTGGCCTACAATCCACCTCATGCGCGGAACCTCCCTTCTCAGCTCTCCAAGAAGACGTTCGAGCCACGGGCGGGCCTTGTCAAAGCACATTTGACATTCCAGCTCGGCAGTTATCTTCCCAGGGCAAACGTACTTCTTCAGCGACGCACTCCACACCAGGGGATCACCAGCCTCACGACCAGCATGAACCGCCGAGAGCTCGACATATCTCCAGATCTGCCAGCGAGCGCTTAGAAGCACAGCGGTCGTCCGGCGGATGCAGCGTATCGCGTTCTCCGCGTCTTCCTCCGGTAGGAAGTATATCCGATTGGGCCCCGCGAGTTGGAACTTGAGGTCCAAGAGCTCCTGGTCGAAGTCCCGCGTTGTATCGAAGAAGCCCCGGAGAGTAGGGTTCTGACGGACGCTTTGGAAGTGCAGCGCGCGCTTGCTGAAGTTGCTTGAGAAGTCCGAGAACGCGTCTCTGAGGGCGAGGAGTTCTTTGCGGCGACGATGTTCGTCGAAGATGGTGGTCTCGAGGTCGCGAGTTGTAATTGTGATGGCGACGCGCTCGTGCTCTTCCTCTCCTCTCGACGAGAAAGGAGGGGCGCTGCTTGACCTGTAGTGACAGTGACAACAGCGTTGGTTGTTTTGCGTGGTGGCCATTTTTCTGTTTTATATTTATCTGATTAGAGTAAAAGATCAGGAATAAAAGAGCGGTTGCCGGGTCAAGGTAGATTATGTATTTCCTCCTTGCTCGAAACTTCAAAGTCATGACTAGGCTAGAACTGACAAATACATTCCGTACAGGTCATCGAATTTATCATGCGTGATACTTATCGGATCCCATTTTCCAATTCCTATGACCAACCTTAAGAAAGTCAGTGTCTAACTAATTCGTCACTGTCGACAAGACCGTCCGATTTCGTGTCGTCCCCGTCAACAAAGTTCTTTAGCAACTCGCGCAACATTAGCAAACACTACATGGGATGAAAAGCCATACAACCATATAGCGGGAACCCGAAAGAGTAATCCTTGCTATGCGTTGTCTACTGACAGCCATAGGAGCAAACAGGTAGTCACTGTGCTCATTAGACTCATAGGCATTCAGGACGCCGAGCCACGTAGCCATCTATACCTTCATATTCTGCTCATATTAATTCATATATCTCATAATTGACTGCTATGCTGGGTATAATGGTTCGCGCCCCTTTATGCTCCCCCGTACCCTACCTACCCAGAGTACTTATATACATATCAACCCAACACCCTGAATCGTGATATCCGAATTTCTTAATCCAGTACACGATGAGCCAGAGTCTTGGCATTACAATATTTCGCTAAGGACATCATCCAATCCGGCCTCCCCGTAGTCCGTTTCCTGCGACGCAGTTACCGCTACCTGTTCTTGTTTACGGCTCTCCGTGCGTTCAAGTAACTCCAGCATTTTCTCATACGAACTACGTGACTGATTCTGTCGCGGACGTACTTCCTTCGGCTCATCGATCTTTTGACTTTGTAAACTTCCTGCAGAGCTCGATAGCTGATTGATAGACCGGGGCCGCGACTGGTCCTTATCCTGGTCACATAGCCGAGTGGATGAGCTTTCGGTTCTCGATTCTGAGCCAGACACACCGGGTTTGATGCTGCCTTTGTTTCCATCTTCTATTGCACACAGCGGCATCGACCTATTTGATTTTTCATCCTCTAACTTTTGGAGACGCTTTAATTCCTGCTGTACATTCCGCCTAGTTGAAGCGCTCTCCCACGCGATTGTCTTTATCCTCTCATTGGTGTATATGCGATGTATTTCTCGGTCGCTCGAAGTAAAGAATGGCTTGGGCGAGGCCCGCGGGGGTGCCATATTCTTCTTAGCTTGTAGCGTACTAAGTGATTTCTTTTGATGGCCCTGAGAGGTAGCCTCATGTATCTTATCCGTAGGCTTTTCACAGTCGGCTGTATTCTTTAAGTTGCGACTCTGTGAATAATTACTATCTGAGAACGTATTCGGTGTTGTGGTTTCCTCGCGCGACGGCTTCGGACTTTTGAGACATTCGGCGGGTTCCCCAAGTAAATGAGCGTGAATTGATCGACTCCTGTCGCGAGCTGGACTGAGTCGAAAATCCGGTATCGACCCTCTAGACTGCTTTTGATCCGGTGGATGCAGTGAAGTCGTTAAGCCAGTGTTGCCATTCCAAGCTGTTTTCTCTGCGGATGAGTTATAGCTGTTGCAACCATTCCGACGTTCGGGTCCCATTGGAGATGTTTTACCGTTTTCGAGGTCTTCTAGGTCTTGTGACGAGAGAAAGAAATCCTGTGTTGAGAAAAATGGCATGTCAAATGATTCGGAGTTTCCTGAGGAGTGGATATTTGCAGTGGGAAGCGAAGGACTCTCCTTTGCTTGTATGGACAAAAAACGACCCTGGGTGGGTATATTTCTTGTTTTTTCATCTCTCACAACAGAACCAAAGCGATCGGGACGTGACACAGCTGAGATCGGCTTATTAGGTAGCTTCCTACGAGTAGGAGACTTGTTTGTACATGCGGCTTTAGATTTTGGCTCAGCACCATTCCCTCCAATGCCAAATTTCGGCTCTCCAAATATTTCCCTTACTTCTTGTGAAGGGCTTGGGAAAAGATCATCAAGGTGTCCAAGCATGAACAACTGAGTGCTTGTTGGTGGCTGCTCCTCTTGCGTTCCCTGAAGTATGTGATGCCGTTGACTGAGTTTAGTGTTAGGGTTAGTGGCGGAACGAAAGCTGGATGCATGAGTCCGGTTGGGTAAGAAAGATGGTATCCTCGAATTCACAGCTGATACATGACCACGCGATCTGGATCTTGATGGAATCGGAGGGGGTCCCATTGGGGTTTTGGGGTTCCGAAATGACTTTGGCGGTGAAATTGACGGTGTCCCCTTTGGTACATTTACCAATGAATCTGGAGCGGGACTTGGCGCGTAGTCTAATGGCTTCGCTTGATCATGGCATAGCTCCTGAGGCGTGTTGGTAATTTTTGAATTGACCTCGCTCGCACCCAGAGTTTGGAGTGGTAGCCGATCAGGCGGCGGTGATACACTCTTCTTTGGCTTTTGTGCTGGCAGCAACTCCTCAACCGCGATTGGTGAACGACAATAATCTAGAGATTTTGATGGGGATGGACTATTGGGAATTATCTGTTCTTTTGGTAGAAGGGAATTTTCGTCCGGGTCCATATCATCTCCAGGCGGATTTCTTACAGCATCATCCACTGGATCATTAGATAGGTCATCAGGAAATACCATCGTAGAAAGACTTTCTACATCAGGAGTCAGATGTTCTACCATCTGGTCATCTTCAATTAATCCTTTGGCTGTGTTGCTAGCCGCTTGAGGAGTACCCCGGGCGTCTGGGTCCCGGGGTGGTGATGCTGAACAGTTCAAACCCCCTGCAAAGCTCGGACTGTGTCCCGGACCTAGAGGCACTGTCTTTTGCTTTTTCGGCGGTGGCTCGGGTTCATCTTCACCTGATAGGGTAGCGCTATCGCTGACATCGTTCTCATCCCGATCGGCAACAAGCGAATTTATTGAAGTTTGGCTCTCCGGCTTCTTCTTTTTATCACCACGGACAAACCAGGCAATTGTAGCTTGCGACGGATGAACGTCGACTAGAGGCAATCCTTTCTTTTTCCTTTCAGCACGCTCTTTTTCTTCCTTCTCCTTCTTCTTGTCCCTTGCAGCCCTTGCGCGGGCTTGGTTCTTCTCCTTCTCAAATTCTCGTCGTATACGGTCTTGCTCGAAGAGTTCCTGACGTCGCTGCTCGGCTTTGGATAGTTTGGGTCCCTTGTTCGTTTTCTGATATGCCTTCTTGGCCTGCTTGGAGGTCATAGGCCGCTTACTAGGGCGGGTTTCGGAAGCATCCAGGCCGCCATTGATGGCGCACAGAGGGTTTGGTATGATGGTAAAGGTGTTCTGACCAGGAGCCATCGTTTCTCACTTCATATATAGAAGCTGGTTGCATCTAACTATCCGTAACCCACGGGATCACTTCTGAACAGCATTGTATCAACAATGGCTAACAGAATTGATCAATTTGCCGTAGCGAAAGTGTTAAAAATATAAATTGGTAAAGTCTAACATTGAATTGTTTTTTTCACCTTTAGGTTAGAACTTACGTCGCGTCGCGACAGCAACTGATTTGATAGTGATGTCCCACTTTACGCGTGTTGGTATTCCTACAAGGCGTACGGCTAGTGTACATACTAGGTTAAGTGGGTCGTGTTCGAGGGATAACACAGTTTATTCTACCTGAGACTGGCACTGTATAATGCATACACTATAATTCACATAGCTACAACCTCAGTTGTGAAGTAACCACCCAATAAGATAAAAACCTTAAACATGGGGAAATAGCAACTCAAGGATGAGTCGAATAAAGGAACTTTATTTCTACCTATACATGCATGTACAGCATACAGCATCTACCTCCTTATAGCTTATAAATAAATATACAAGCACTTCATTCTTTTAAAATATAGGTATCCCTGAGTCAACGGATTCGTAATGGATCTTCAGTATCTGTTTAGCTAATATAGTTCCGAAGATGCCGGCTCTAATCTAGTTAGTTTACATGTCATCATTCGACACTTATCCTTACTTTTCTTACCCTCCCACATTACCAAATACCCTCAACTTCGGATCGGATAGCCGTAGATAGAGGCCACCAACTTAAGTCTCGTTTTCATTCTAAATCGGCAAGTAGCACAACAGATAAGTAACGGGTATTTCATCTACTATTATCATCATCATCGCCTATCTAGCTACTCGTACATATTGTAGCCGGGGTATAAGAGACATATTAGAAAACGGCTATCAACAATAACCAGCAGGGCAACCGGCCGTCGTTCCGAGAATGTCGCCTGAGACGCCACCGATCTGGAGAGCAGCACCTATAACACCTCCGAGACCCTCTCCGGCAATAAAACCAGCCGCAATTGCATATCCGTAGAGGTCGAAGCTCTTAATATTCCATCTCTTCCAAATCCATGCCACGGTAGCACCAAACATGGCCGCCGTTGTAAACACGGGATTAGGGAGGACAAACGACAACGCTACGGCGCCCCAGTTCGGGAGGTATTGCCGGTACTTTTCACGTTCACCCACCAGGTAAAAGTGTCTAAATATGACTTGGCCTACGCAGAAGACCGCCATAACGATGGAGAAGATCCCCGACGATAGAGGGATGCTGACATCTGGGTCTGTGACAGCCTGCGCCACGGCAGCCCATGCGGACACCGAAGGGACAGCGAAGGCGCAGTGCTCAGCTGAGGCGTCAAGTATGCAGCTACATTTCCAGGAATTAGTAGTGATTCTATGGTGAGATTCTTAAAGATACCTGAATATAAACTAAATTACTTACGGATATGCTGTAGTGAAGAGCACAAACATCCCTGGGGCCAAGAAGATGGAAACGATAGACCCGAGGCCTTGGGCATACCACTGCTTGACTGGGGATGTTCCTAACAAGAAACCAGTACGGAAGTCAGAAGTCAGCGAAGATGCGACGTCGGCAGCTCCGGAAGCCAGACCGCCAGCGACTAAGTTGACTCGCTGCGCATCTTTGATCGTGAAGCCGTTGTTTTTTGTAGCAGCACCAAAAACGAGCTGGCTGGCTTTCGATGCGGCCGTCAGTGGAGTGTTATCTGTTACGGCGCCAATTTGAACAGCAAGCTTAAAGCATCTTAGGTCAGCTTCTTAGTTCTACGTTAGGTGTTTCTACCTTATCCCTCAGGGAAACCAAAATAATGGGGTCGTTAGACTTACTGCTAGTCGTTAGCAACTATAAAGGGAGAACGTCAAAGACCATTGGGGATAATACATACCGAAGGAGAACATGATACCTAAGACGCAAGCTAGGACGGTAAGACCTGGATGCATACCCCATTGCAGGGCGAAGATAACCATGGCCGCGGCAACGGTGACAACAAGGCCGGTCGTCCATGCCCATAGTGGCACTTGTTCATGTGGTGGCGCCGGATCCTCGATGATATTCTCGCTAGCTTTCACCTCCCTCTCGGCGCGTGTGGCAAGGTAGGTAGAGTACTTGCCATGCTTGGTTAAGACGTTGTTGATGTTGACGCAGATCTTCTGCCAGACCACCTTACCGGCATACCCGATCACCTTATATTGGACGAGTAGTTCTGCTATTGACGTTGCGACCATGATGAGCACTCCGGGCCAAAGGAGCCAGTAGCGCGGAGACGGGGTTTCGTGTCCAAGGTTGCTGAGAGAGGCGAACGAGTACCAATCAGCCCATCGCGGATCATCCTCAACCTGAAGCTTGCCGATACATTCGCCGTAATGGACGAGGAGAGGCCCGATAATTGCCCAGGCGAGTACAGCACCGCCAAACATGGAGAGGGCAGAGTTCATGCCGATAAGGATGCCGCTACCGATGAACGCCGGAGTCCACTCGAACCACCAACCCCAACTCTCGATATTCATGGCCCAGCTGGTATACTAATATATAAAACATTCATGTTAGCTTACCAATCTTACCCTTCCTCTTTGGACGGATGAAAATTATAGGAATTTTGACTTACACCACTCCAGATGTGGATCCAGGTAAAAACATGCCAATCATACAAGATACCAACAGCATAATACGATGCCACCCGTTGGACAAGGGCAGCTGTGAAGGATAAGCTGAGAGCTTTGAGTTTGCTTAGAGCCTCCGCGGCACCTGTGGCACCGGCGTGCATCGACCTAATAGTAAGAGCTACGGCAGTAGCAGTGGGAAAGAGTAGTTTCAATTCCCGGCTAACTTGGATGATAAAGAACTTCCGGAGAGGAGCGACGAAGAATAGACCAAAGAACGAGCAGACGAGAGTGATTGTAATAATTGCGCCAAATTGGTCTTTAGGGACGCCCACCTGCGCGTGAAGTTGGTACATGGCCGGTATACCCGCAACGAAGATACCTGTGATTCCACCAGCGCCCTGGGCTGCAGCCTGGACGATACTGTTCTCTTGAGGGCCGAAAGAACCGCCGATAATAGGAATGGTAGTCTTCGAAGCGAGCTTGATGATGCCGTATCCGAAGATCGCTCCAAACATAGAGGCCGCGAAGGTAAACCCAGTTTTCAACCCTATCGTTTAAATCAGCAAATCGCATTCACTCTAATAAACCTGTAATTTAAGAAGCTCACCCAGATATAAGTTGGAGGCATTAACAAGACTGCCCAAGAGGATACCAACTATGACGGCACGGGCTGTTAGGGGATCATGCTCATCGGCAAAGCTGCCCTCCATCTTTAGGGGCACGTAAAGGTCAAGATCCTCTTCGACGGCCTGGACGTCTACATCGACAATGTTAACTTTCTCATCGCCCTCCTTTCCTGCAACCGGCGTCTTCTCCATATTGTCGGTGACCTCCACCGGGCGGGCTTCAGTTGAAGCCATGGTCGCTAATGTCTAATCAGAGACGAAAGCTCTGTGAACTGATAGGTTGGGTATCTCGGGGGAAAACTCGAGACAGGATATATTCCACGCAGAAGGAACGGCATGCGTCCCTAATATACCTACCTACTAGCAACGCCCGCTTCCGATAAAGTTCAAGGTCCCCACGTTGCATGGCAACCGCCGCGCAACATCAGACCCCAGGTTCCGGTTTAGTGGTCTCTATCTACATGCAGGCTAGGTGGGCCGACAGTGTCCACTTGTAGAGATAAGATGAATATTAAGCATGTGTACTGGCCCCGGTGAATCCTAGATTAGGTAGGCGGGCAAAACAAAGAGGTACGATATCTATACGATCCACCAATACGAGTCTCATTGAGACAATAATTGACTCCAACAGATCTTTGTCCAGCTAGGAGATCACAGACGCTAATGATGTAAAGCTATATCGGGAAGGTGAGGGTAGCAATTGGTTCGATTCGACTGGCTACTCCCCATGCTACCATTGATGTGGTACAGACGTCTCGGGACATGGGCCAACTGCAATCAGCCATACCCTTACTTCATGGGATCTCTCGTCTCAACCCGACCCTACAACAGATAAGTAGAGATGGATAATTCATTTGTCAAAACTACCTACATACATTCAAGCTACCAAACTAAACTCGTGGAACCACAACCTAACCTAGGTACCTACCTATATCGTATTCTTCCTCGCCACGTACAACATTTCGAGAGGCCGTATCCCCCGCTCACCCTTCCCGCGACCCTCTTACTGGATTGTATCGGTGTGTCGTCCCGGGAGAATTGGCTGATTGGAGCCGGCGAATAGAAATAAGCATTCTGGGATTGGGGCGCCATGGTTTCGACATGGGTAGTTGCGTGGATTCGGAGCCAAGATAAGGGCTGCGGAGGTGTGGCGTCGACCGAAGCATGAGCTTGCTTTGACCTTGTCCGTTACCCTTGCCTATTGGACACACGACAGCAACTCCCATATTAGTAGGGAAGCGGCGTAGATACTCAACGGTCAAGCCATAGGTAGGTACTCGAGTATTACTCGTCGAGATACTGGTCGAGAAAGGTTTGAGCGAGACAACCTGGTAACATATGCGTACAAGCTGAACTGCACATATTTTTGTACAGCAACCTGCCAGCCCTCTCCCCCTCTATCACCTGCTGAAAACTCGACTCGCGCACGATCTTGTTACATCGCGTTATCGAGCACTTCTTCTAGAATGGTTACTGGAAGGTGAAGCTAACCAAAGCGATGAATGAATTGCCTATTCAAGAATTATTGGTATGCAAGGGAGGGATTTTGAGCAGATATGCTTGGCTGCCGGTTCAATTAACAGACAAGCAGATCATCGGCAATAAATTAATAGCCAGTCCCGGACAAGAAGGTATTCGTCGACTAATATCAGCATTTATTACTAGGGCAGTATACCTCCTCATCCTCCAATTACTTCCTCGGCGCAAATTCAAAGGAAGTGCATGGGGAGCTGAACGCAATTGTTATATTTGCTTTATTTGTATTAACCAACTTCCCCAATCACAGCGTCAAACTAACAAACGGCCCGTTGGTCATGCGACAAATAACATTACGATATCCCGTCAATTAGTTAGTTACGAGCTAGCCTATCACCACCGATTGGTAGGATATCCTACATATCAGGGTACTTGGCGGCAGCCAACGGCGGGAAGCGTACGGCAGCCCTTCTTCGATCCGTCTTGGCGAGGTATGAGCGCTGCCAGCATCCACCGCAACAGGATACGATTCCGACATTTATACTACCTACAGCATGAGGTTCAGCCAAAGAATTCCCTCTACTGCTTTCTTATACCCTAGCTACTTAGAGGTACATATAATCCCCTCGCATGATTCTCCTTCTTTAGGACTGCCTTTATCTAGAAAAGGGCGCGCTCTGCCGATAGCTCGTTTTTGTGTCCCAACTGCTTCTTCCAAATCCAGTTGGTGCCCCGAAGCCATAGATAACAAGCTTCCACATCCGCGCTGTCGGGATCCACGCCGAAGTTAGCTTAGACCCACTGCCGATATTACATACATAATATCCAGATTTTCCATTTATATTGTTCTTGGGCTGCTTGTTTGCGACTGCAAGCCGAGGTACTACGAGTTGCGCGAAGTACCTATTCTTGAGATACCTAGACTTGCCCAAGAGCCGTCTGGTATACGAAGGAAAAGTCTGTGCCTCCCCGTGCCACATCTAAGCGAGGGGAAACTGAAATCCTGCTCCAGTTACATTCCTCTGGACCCTTGCTGCAGTGCAGTGCAGGCCCCACTGATTGCTACAGGGTAAACCGGTGGGTATCGATATCTTGGTATTAATACCCATTCCTAAGGGCCCTCTTGCTCTGTTAGAGACCCTTACCTAATTATCACGTTGATGTGGGTATATTATACAGGTGTTATCCATTATGTGCTTGTTAGAGGTTTTGAGCCTTAAGTTGCGTTTCCCTTTCTCCAGCTGTTACAAAATGCTCTTCAATACCAGAGTATTTCCTAGCCGATAAGGGGAAAGTACCAAGGTATATTCTCATCCGATATGGAATCATCTTTTCCGTATTCGAAAGAACCGTCTATAAAAAGCTACGGAGTCACAAATGAAGTACTTCGGTCCAGTGGTATCACAAATATATCCAATGCGTTGGTTTGCTGTGCATTGTAATACAATAGAAAGCCATGATCTGACTCCTGAGGAGCCGCGCTTATCAGCTATAAGACTCGAGCATTGCCAATACATATTGCAAATACCAACCCTTTGCTAACTTCGCGGGTTCCTTGGGTCTGGGGCCCTGTGCCTTGGATTATTATCATTTTCAGGCAGCTTCAAATTTCCAATCAACTACCTACCATGATCTCAACTACCCTAGATCAATTGAAAAGTGGCTGGTAGGAAGTTGTGATAGGCCGTTCGATATTCCTCGCCAGACGAATAAATACCCATTGTCACCGTCTATAGTGGATATATCTTGTCCTTCCATGTATAGAGAAGTTCCGTCATACTGTAGCAAATAATTCGTTCAAAAGGGGTGCCACGAGAATTCATGTACTCAGACAAATAGTTGTCCCGTGCTACAGACCTATATGGTTTAGAAAGCAACAAATCATGGAATCCGTCCCTAAATTCGGCCCTAAACTTTGAGACACCATTAAGACAGCGTGCTTTCAGCCCTATTTGCATCAATCGCGATGAAGACTTCCAGAGATATATAGTCGCACCGTTAGCAACTGTCTCGGTACTCCTTCGGTCCCATGGCTTACTTACATACATGGGTAGGGTGGCGTTGTCTTGTACGGCCTGACTGAAACCTAACCTGAAGGGGAGCACGCCCCTATTAACGTGAGATAATCACTTTAACGGCGTCCCTACCGCGCAAACGGTTGGCTTTCGGGGCAATGCCGATCTCATGGCATGGCACCAGTCAATTCGCGTTATACCGTAAGCATTAGATAGCTTAATGCATTTACCTAGGCGTTCTAGATGAGCCGTCGATTAGGTAGGTACCTAGGGAGAGAATAGAAAAAGGGGGTAAGGGGCCAAATCATCTCGATAGAACATAAATTGGCCAACGACCTTGGAAGCCGCGGTCACACGAGACGACTCAGAAGTGCAATTACCTCGTCACCCTGAGCAAGAGGAGCGAAATATAAATAATAATTATCTTCACTGGTGTAATGTGTATGTCTAGCAACGGCAAAGATTCGGTGACTACTATGAACGATATATAGTCTATAGACACGCAGTGTAGACGAACATAACAATATATCCGCTTCGTGTTTCTTTACATAAGATAATAGACTATCGAGGCTTAGGATATCTAGTCGCTTCGCTCAAGGCAAACGCCGAGCGAAAGACAGCGTACACTACCTTATATGTCTTTCCATCACGATTTCACATTAGATATATAAAGACTAGGCAACGAGCAATTTAGAATAAGTTTATAGGCTTTCCCCTTTTTGATATCTGAACTAACACCCTACCCTAACCTACCCTAGTGTTCTATTTTATGAACCGCAAAGATCGCATAGCAAAACCCCCATAGTTACCTAGGTAGGTACCTGGTTAGTACCAGAACTTCGATTCTAGATATCCCCGACGAGCAGCTTCGTCGCGACCAACTCCTATACCGAATAGTGTCCCTTACCGCAGAGCAGATTGCTGACGACGTAATACTACCTCTGAAATTACTGCCTGCGCAACATCTTCGTAACCCTAAGCCAAGTCCGCTGTAGGTTTAGAGACTACTGAAGATGGGTTTTAACTCTGCCCTTGATCCCTAGGCGCTATAGATTCTAGCCCGCGAGGAAGTACCTAATAACAAGAGGGCTTCTCCCTCTTCCGTTCTTACACCTATTGAAGAAGACTCGGTGCTCGCCAGGTAAGCATTTATTTTTTTTAATCTATGTCGATATATATCATTTCGTGTGAATACCATAAACAACAGGTATAGGCCTAAAGACGCTGAACTCCTGGCCCGTGGCTACCAGGGTACCAGGAATCTGGGGATGCCAGTGGAGTTCCTTCGCGTGCTCGGAGATGTGTTCGAAGAGGAGCTGGGGCGGCATGTCCTTAACGCCCGCGGTATCCTTACTCTCCTCGTCGTCCAGCTCGACAGACAGATCCCACAGGGTAACCTTGTGATCACCTGCGGCGACAGCCACCATGCTGTCGTCAGTGGGGTGCCACTCGACGCTGGTGATCTGTTCCTTGTGGTAGTTGAAGCTGGCGATGGGGCTCGGCTTCTGCGCGCCGCCCTTCCACTGCCGCAGATCCCATACGCCCCATACGCCGTCGTCGGCTCCCGTCGCGAGGAGGTGGGTTGTTAAGCGTGACCACGACATCACGTTTACGTCTACCGAGCTGACCTGTACTGTGATGGCGGGTTTCCGGCTCTTACTGCGAACGTCCCATACGCGCACTGTGCCGTCGCTAGATGCGGATGCGAACACGGATGCTTCTTGCGGACTCCATTGGATCTCTTCTACGCTGCTGGTGTGCCCCTGGAACGCGCGTGTGTCTGTGACCCAGCCCCCGCCGTCTGTGCGCGTCGTAACGTATATCAGGCCGTCGTTGTCACCGGTAAGTAGCTTACCACCAGGCACCATAGGCGACCAGTCGAGCGCATAACCTTCCGACTTGTGGGCTCGGATTGTAGAAAGGGGCTTGTTCTGTTGAGGCGTGATGACGGTTCCGGGGTTGTCGAAAGATGCTAGATGAGGGGTGACGTCGTGTATGAAGATGCTGCTAGACTCGGTCATGGTCGCAGTGAGAGTTGTAGGTGGTTTCGAAGGGTCTTGGGAGGGGATCTGGTGGCTGCGGATGCGGTTTGTAGTCGATGTTAGTGGGATCGACTTGGACTCGAGAATAGGATCTGAGTCTTCATCGTCGGAGTCGGAGTCATCTTCAGACTCGGAATCTTGGCCATCCTTCTGCATGCGACTCAAACCGCTAAACTTCATGATCATAAGCTGGTTCTCCTTCTCGCGCCCGCTTTCGGCTTGAGTGCCGGCGACGGTATACATGGTAGCAGGGTAGGCCTTTTCCCGGTTATCGCCAAGATTATCGCGGACGATGTCAAAGGAGAGACAGGGCCAGGGGGTACTGAGGTTATGAAGCATTTCGTAGGTGCCCAGATCTGGAGCGAGATGTTGGCCGGCCTCAAGCTTATTGCGCCCAACGATGAAAGTGCTGTCGTCGACATCCATGGCACTGGCTGCATTCTCTTCCGCTTCACGCTCTGCGTCGGGTCTACCGTCAACACCAGCCTCAAAAATCTCGTCCTCGCTCTCAAACTCATCCTCGAATTCGTCTGCGAATTCGCCCATTTCCTTATCATCTACATCCATGGGCTCGGGACGGACCCCTCCCTTTAGAGGGGCATGCTCGTCTCCGACATCCGCCGTACGTTTAGACATAATGTCTAGTTAATAATTCGTAAAACTGAGAATTATTTATCGGGTCTTGCAGAAGAAAAATTGAAGGTTTGCTGGTTTAAAACGTAGGTCGGAAGTGGTCAATCGCGATTGTCTCGCTATGCACATGAAATAAAAATAAAAATAAAAATATTTTTTTTTTCCTATGCCCCTCGGCAACCCCGCGATCTGTGGCTGTTGCTCAGGGGTCTAGTTTAACAAGAGTGGAGCCCGTGAGCTACTTATCGATAGACTATGCGCAAGAATGTTGAAGGATGCACGTATGTTAGGTACTTGCATCAATTACCTGTACATAGGTACTTTGTACATGCATCAGTACATGTACTTCCATGTTCTACGTCATGTACATGTACACCTCAATCCACATTGTACCGTGTACCTTATGTACCTAATCCATCTCGAAACGACGTACATGTATCATGTACCTATCATTAGAGCTGTGCTTCGTACTCGACTTTCGTTGTCGAAACTGGAACACTGACCTAATATAACACATTCGGTGACGACAGCCGCTGTTACACTATGTACCTAATGTTATAAATTCTAATGAGGTTTACTGGCTTAACCATAACTCTTCCTTATACATCACCAACGATTCTTATGAGACACAACGTTAATACATTAAACCATACCAGAGCTCCAGTCTCTCTCGGACAAAAGAAACCATTTCATAAGTAAACGTCGGCTTCAGATCAAATATCGCAACCATTAATTATATTAGATTCAATTATACGGAATCATGACGCGTCTTTTTCAGTTAGGCCTAGCCATCGAGGCCATCCTCAACATCGCCGGTGCCGTCCCATTTATACTATATCCGGAATGGTGTCTATCATTCGCAGTCACTCCTAACTCGACCGTGCCTCCTAGTTCTTCTTTATTGTGGCAGGTCTATGGCGCTCTCGTTCTAGCTCTCACAATCCCGTTAGTCCTATGCATCCCGGACTCCAAAGCCGTAAGGGAGAAGCGTCAAATCGTGTTCACCACTCTCCTCGCCGGAGAGGTCTTCCTAGAAGCTGTCCTACTTTGGCATGTCTCACGACCGGACGAGAGCGGATTTACATTGACTTCCCTCGTTCTCAGCGCAGTCTTCTTGCTGCCAGCTCTGTCTTGGCATGCCTTTGCCACCTATATCAAACCTGACTTAATGGAGAGCGACAGCGAACTTTCAGGCAGCACAGCCAAGAAAACACTATAAATCGCTATAACACACCAGGTCACATTATTCGGATAGGATCATTTGGAATAAGAACCGTATTTACTCAACCAAAATTCATAGTACAACATCAAATAACACCAATATCGATACACACTAACCGAGTGCTTCATATTTATGCAAAGTCCCAAGAGTAGCCGGACGAGCTGCTTTCCATCCTATCCTAACTTTACGGAGACCGGCATACCTAATCCTCTGGGTCCCATTGGTCTGTGACAGCACCATGACTGGCATCACCAACCAGTCTGGCGTACTTTGCCAAGACACCCCTCCTAGCCCTTGGAGGAGGAGCCTTCCACGTCTTCTTCCTCTCTTTCAGTTCCTCTTCGCTCACATTGGTTATATCAATCCGATTCTTGATTGCATCGATGACAATCGTGTCTCCATCTTTAACCAAAGCGATAGGTCCTCCTCTCGCTGCTTCCGGGGTGACGTGGCCGACTATGAAGCCGTGGCTAGCACCGCTGTATCTGCCATCTGTAACGAGGGCGATGTTCTTTAACCCCGCCCCCATAATAGCTGCCGATGCCCTTAGCTGCTCAGGCATGCCGGGGCCTCCACGAGGTCCTTCATAACGGACAATGAGGACCAAGTTTTCATCTCGCGGGATCTCGCCACGCGATAGGGCATCGTCAAGCTCGTGTTCCTTATTAAACACCCGGGCCTTACCCGTAAAACTCAAGCCCTCCTTGCCAGTAATCTTAGCAACAGCGCCTTCCGGGGCAAAGTTCCCTCTCAAAATTCGGAGGTGGCCCGTCTCTTTGATAGGATCTGAAAGGGGGCGAATAATCTTCTGGTCGGGCGGTAAGCTAGGCCAATCGGCGACATTCTCCGCAAGTGTACGACCTGTCACTGTTGGGATATTGCCGTTGATCAGGCCCGCCGCTATTAACATCTTCAAGACCGACGGAGTACCGCCAATCTTGTACAAGTCTTCCATCAAATACTTTCCGCTCGGAGCTAGATCCGCTAGGAATGGGGTCTTGTTGCTGACCCTGTCGACATCGTCCAGAGTCAGCGGTACTTCAGCTGTGTTTGCCATGGCTAAGAAATGCAAAACTCCATTAGTAGAGCCGCCAAGTATCATAGTGATAACCAGCGCATTTTCAAACGATTCCCTCGTCAACAAATCCCGCGGGCGAATATCTTTCTCCATGGTTACTTTAATGACCTCTGCGGCGCGTTCGCATTCACGGGCCTTCTCCGGAGACAGAGCGGGATAAGATGATGATCCGGGAAGAGTGAGACCCATAGCTTCTATAGCCGTTGCCATCGTATTGGCAGTGTACATTCCACCGCAGGCACCCGCGCCGGGGCAAGCATGACGTTCGATATCTGACAACACGTCGCTGGGAGTTCGACCTGCAGCACCAGGGTTCGTCTTGGCTTGGAGCCGACCATATGCAAACGCCCCTGAAGCCTCATAACAAGTGCTCACATTCACGTCGCGCTCCAACAGATCCGAATAACCCTTTCGAATTGTCCCGCCGTACTAGAAATTGTAAGTCGGTGCCACGCCTGGTTAGAGGGGCTGCGAATCTAGCCGTGAATTCACCGCCAAGGGACTTCAACGGTGGCCATTAACTTACAATCATAATGAAAGGCCGGTTGTGACGTGCTGCTGCCATGACAACACCCGGCATGTTCTTATCACAGCCGGGTATCGAGATATTGGCGTCGTGGTGTTGCGCACAGGTAACAGTTTCTATGCTATCTGCAATGAGATCCCGAGTTTGAAGTGAAAATCTCATGCCTATTTTTCATGGTGTTTTTAGCGATAAGGTCAAAAGGAAAAGGGGTAGCATAAACCAACCTTCGCCTCCCATGGTAATAGCGTCTGATACCCCTACGGCATTGTACTGCCATGCCAGCATCTTCTGCTTTTCTACCGCTCTCTTCACGATCTTTCCGAAATCGAGGACTATCCTGGTTAAGTTTCCTCGCATTTAAAGAAATTCACGTTTTAGATGCTCACTCACGATGTGTACTACGATCGGTAATCATTAGCTATGGGGACAAGTTGTGAGTGCGTGGCTATTATGGCCTATCAAAGGCCAATACCACTTACTTGCACTACGAGTTAAAAGTTAGTGGTTATAGACGAGCGATAAAGCTGGATTCCTGGATAACATACAGGGTTTCCTTCCCACCAGACAGTCGCGATTCCAACGTGAGGAGCATTCTTCATCATCTCTTCGTTTGGCACTCCGGCGCCGTATAACATAGCCTACGTCAATGTGTCAGAGCAAGCTTTTCTGGATATGGGATGGCCACGCACTTGAGCACCAGGGTAGTCATGTTCCCTTGTGATCGCATGAGACCATCGATTCAAAGGACCGCCTGCCGGGAGACACTTGAACTGAATATACTGCGAATCGGCTTTCGGATCCTGGAGATTGGGACTGATGCCTGTCTTAGCTGCCGGTGCGTCGCTCATGTTGAATTTACTTAACACTAGACTCTAGTATATATTATATATATGAAAGCTCTGTTAGTTTTGCCTTCACGGAAAAGTCCTTTCGACTTATACGGAAGTTATATTTAAGAACCTTGGTATTGGACCTGCGGGGTAAAGGAATTGTCGGGGAAGTTGATATCTTATGACGATGTAGACATTCGGAGGTTTGACGTAACGAGGATTTGGAAACGGGCAAAGGCCCGGGTCCCGGAGCGGAGATGCTTCGGCTACCAGCAGCTGCATTCGTACATATGAAGCTAGCAATTTGAAATCCTCGAGAGACGACTGGTTCATAGGCGAGCTGTAGTGTACCAGGCCCGTAACGATACCCACATGACCCACGACCCAAAAAGCCACTTTTCTAGGATATACCTATGCCCATTGCATTTAGTTCGATACTTTCTTGGGGTATCAATCGAGCCGCTCCAAACCTCGCATGTTGTCGGCACCGAGTACGGGAGGGGAAAGCGGAGTCGTATGCAGGTAACACGGGAGGCTACATAGGAAAAGAATGGTATCGAACTAAAAGTAAACCATTGAATTGTCGAATTAGGGTAGGTAAACTAAACTATTGAGAGTAGTCCTGTGGAGGTGAGCAAGAGAGATACATGTATCTAGGACTACATGAAATTCGCATGTCAAAGCTCCGAGTCTCACTTATACCATGACGTTGGCATGATGGAGTAAGAGGTAGTTGAGGTATATCGCGAATAGGATAAGTAGCGTAGCCATCAATATTCGCTCGCGCTCGAATATAGCATAGTTACCTGATTATGTCCTACATTTGAACACATAAAATTATAATAGTCCGGTATACACTTATTAACTAACAACCACCGAGTGCAAAAGTCTACTTACACGCCGCCTCCTTTTCCTGCGAGGCGTCCCACTCTTCAAAGCCACCGGGAAACTTATCGACGAGCTCGCGCATACCAGATATCAACCTATGATAATGATTAGCATAATTTAAACGGCACATTCTTAACCAAGTGGGCTTGTTTACATCTGTCGGTAACTGGGATCGTCCTTGTATAAAATAGAGTCGAGGATATTGACTCGGCTACCGCGATTCATGTCATTAGTATTCCTATTAAATATAGTTGTATTCCGTGGAAACATGGATAGCAAAAAGAATTATAGAGAGGCGGGAGGAGTCTCACACTGCATATAAGGCGTTCCGGTCGTCGCAGTCCTCTTCCGGCTGCGACTTGGGCATATACTTGTAGTATTCCGCCCGGTAAGCCTCGCCAATGTTATTCCACGGCTGGCGCCAGACGCCGAGTTCATCTGTTCTCATTTCGCCTATCAGCCCGCCCATTCTAACTGAACTAACTAACACTACCAACTGCCACAGTCCCGTGGATCTTGATTAGATAGAAGCTTAGGTAAATAAATCCTTACATTCGTTATGGGCGTAGAAGGACGCCGCGTCGAAGACGATAGGCAAGCCGGTTTCCGCATCCGTCTCGGCGTTGCCGTGCCATAAGTCGCCGTGGATAAGGCACGGCTGGATGGAGCGGCCGCCTGTTTCTAGGGGGCGGAGGAGGCGGGGGATTACCTTGTCGAAGAAAGGCGCTATCATCCCCTTTATTTCCTCGTTTGGTCCCTACACGTATGTCTTGCGAGTAAGTAAACGTGAGAATCCCCCAAGGACATATGCTGCGTGCCTCGGTAAACGCGGCGAGTAACCCATAACCGGGCAATGGACTAACGTACCTGCGCCTCTTGCTCCAGCCCAAACAACACCCTCGTCGTCCTCGCGAAGTACTCCTCCCAAAACCCAGACCAGCCATGGTCGACTTGCACGTTCCCATGGAAAGTCGGCACGTCCGACCCAAACTTACCACCACCACCACTACCACCAGCACTACACCGATGCAGCTCCGCAATCTTCGCAGCGAGTGCTTCGGGGGCCGGGACCGTCCCCGTCATACGCCGGAACTCGCACAGCAGGAAATGCACGTCCGGCACGCCGGAAAACGACCCCGAAGCAAGAGGCTCCGGCACCAGGTCCGGCGCGGCGCGGCGCATGCGGGACATGCATTGGAACTCGCTTTGCGTCATTGCGCGGCCGAGGGCGCCGTAGGAAGTCTATGTTAGGTAGTCTATTAGGTACGCGCTTATATACATGTGTATGTGTGTGTGCAGGCTTGCGACTAACCTTGAGGAAATACGGCTTACGAACGCCATCGTGCTCGACGTCCAGACGAGCGGTGCGTGTCCATAGGCTGATGCCGTGGGGAACGATGGAGATCTGGGTCGCGGGGGGGAGTTCTTGTGTTTACAATGGCTGTTAGTACTCGTATCTCTCTAACCCAAGTTATTACCACCTGGGTACTTGTATGAGGCATTTAAAGGTGTCCAAGGTAGAGTATAGAGGTAACGAAAAGGGTCCTAACTAGCGACGACTTCAGGATCCACCGTCTGGATGGCCTCTATTGGGACCATCGTTTCGCTAGCGTGTTCGTCTGCCATATTCGCGCTTATAGGTATCTTCGTTGCAGTTTTTAATTCGAGGAATGGTGTAGAAGTGAGGAGACGGCGCTAAGTGTTACATGCAGCTCCCGTAACGAGTTTTACTTGAGACGATCCTTGATTGCTTGTTCGATACTAATTTCAGCTCAAAATTCTAGCAGAACGAACCGAGAAAAATAAGGATTGCATATTAGGTGTACCTATACTGAATAAATCTCGGCAACAGGACTAGGAATGATATCGTTCGTAAAAGATAGAATATCATTTGCTTTTCTCCTTGCTCTAGATAGAACAGGGGCTGCTCGTTGCGAGCTGGTTAAAGAAAAAAATAATGTACATAATTCCTTGCCCATAATAATCGGGTATTGTATTTGCATCATAAATCGTGCCGGCAGAAAATATTAAAAAGAAATATTCATCCAGTAATACGTGAAACTGAATCATAGCTAGCGGCCGTTCAAGACATCTCGCCATTCCCCCCTTTCCACCTCTTCCACAGACTACCTCCGACCCCCAATCATATTGACCAGCTCCTCCGCTAGCCAATATAGCAATGATGAGGCATTCATAGCATCCGCCACATAAGAACCCTGCTAAACGCTTTAAGACATCTTGAGTATCATAGTTCCGCTTGCTCAGCTACAAGACCATCCCGGCCGTTCCCACATGCCACCAAACCCAAGATACAGACGATGAAAGGGGTTGTTCATTCAACGGTGGTCGCAGTAGCAACCTCCGTATGCTTCAGAAGAGAATCGATGTGTAAATTGTGACTGATATGTGCGATTAGAAAATCTAGAGGCATACAAGGGCAAAACAGATGATATGGGAAAAGTTGCCCAGCTGGGATGGGCAATAATCTATCCCGATTGTAAAATAGTACCGATGTGAAGTACCATACTGACAAATGAGTAACGATGCCGTACTCATCTTCAATATTGAATGGTAGCCCAGAACTCTAAGCACCAGCGGCTACACCGACGCTTCGTTCTTCTTCTAATCGCCGAACCATTTCTCTCTCTTTCGGACTTCGCGGATTTGCATCGATACCAAGGATAGCGCTGATACGGGTCTTATCATGCTTTTCGTAGATAATTTCGCGGTCATTAGGACTAGTGACGGGGGTAATTGGAGTTTGACCACCCATAGAAAATACGCTCGCCTTCCACGCTTGTTCTAGGACGACTGGACTGATTCCCGACCCATATTCAGATGCAATAGCGCTCCAGAATGACGACCGATGTGCGGCATATATCGATTGCAGTCGAGGGATGTCCACGTGAGCCGAAGGCGGCGGGAGAGAACAGTCCAGTCGAAGTACTGGTACCTGGCTAGTTGATGCGGACTGGGGAAACGGGGATGGCGCCAGCGACCGAGACGAATCAGGACCCGAAGCAGGAAAGCTACACGAAACCGAGGGGACTGCATGCGGGAGAGCAATTGCCGACGGTTTTGGCAAGATTGCGGGAAGACGAGGCGAGGTCCCGACATTCGTTATAATACTAGGGAGTTGCACTGAAGTCGTATAACTAGGCGAATCGAGCTCGTGACCGATAGCACTCATGGGGGAGGTGTCGTCGCGAGGGCTCTCCTGGACGGGCGATGGGATAATTGCCGGTAAGATAGGCGAGTGCCCCGTGGAGGAACCTGAAGATACGGACGTAGTCCGCTTCCGGCGATTGCTTCCATGGCTCAGCTGGTGATAATGAAGACGGCAAGCTAGTTCGGTCTTCTTCAAGTGAGCGGCGATGTGCTTATAGGGCATCTTTTGAAGGCGGGTTTGTAGAAGATAGACCTCCTATTCCATCATACATTAGTTTCTATAACCACGACAACTTATTTCCCCCCCTATGGGCCCATAGCATAGGTCCAAGAGGAATGTAGGCTTAGTTTCTACACACCTCGTCCTCGCTCCAAGCTCTTCCCCCGCCAGTTGATGCTGTTAGTTTCCTGTTCTTCGTGACCCCATATTCATGTCGATCAAGAATATCGCTTGTCGGTGTATATGGCATAGCGGAAGATGTGGTTAACTGTAGTGATGGAGACATCGTATATTCGTAATCTACCACAGGTAGATAGTTGTAAAAATAGCGAAGACGGCGCTGCCTCAACGAATTTAAAATGAGGTATGTGTAAAACAGGCAGGCCAAGCTGCTACAAGAATCGAAGTTACTGAAGGTCGTCTGGTTAATAAGACCGTATATCAGGGCTCTTTCTCGTCACGTCAGAGATTAAGCATAGAAGCCAGATACAAAAACGAACCGAACAGAGAAGCGTAGACTAGTCCAAATGTTACCAACGACCAAAACGATTATTCAAAAAAGAGCGTAAGCAGCCAAGCCAGTTGGACGATGAAAGAAAGTGGTCGCTAGCTGCGAAAGAAAAGAAAGGAGGCTCGCAACAACGTTGTCAATGATACAGTGGTTGAACCTATACGGTGGTAAAGAGGGAACAAAAGGGAGGAAGATCACTCAGAATAAGTGAGACGAAAGGCAGATAATAACGATAATGCATCTTCTGCATCTTGATACTCGGCCGACACATTCTAGATTGACTAGGGTTGAGGCTACCGGAGGTGGGTATTACCACACCTCACGCCTTTGCACTTTTTCGACTATAACCCTGTAACAAGAGCTTAAGCTGGAGTGGAGGAGAGAAGAACGGAAGGCATGGTCTTGGCTTGATGCGCTGGGCTGAAATCCATGTACATCGATCCAAAACGGACAACCCTAGCTAGGACCTGGACAAGCGCTTGAGGTGGATTTCATCCATTCCGTTATCCGAAACCACGAGGGAAAACCTACCAGTACATTAAACCCTACCGGCGACACGGACAAACCCAAGGAACCGTTCATATAAACCTGAGCCTTGGATATATCATAAACTCTATGCTTGAGAGTATAGCCACAAGACGGCTTTGATAGAACTCTAGCAGAGCTCTACTAGGAGACGCAGATACAATACTTCGTATCGTCTTCGGAGACCATGGCTACGTAAATGACGCTGGATGTAACATAAACCGGCCGCCGCATGTGGCCGGCGGGCATGGGAAAGACATCCAGATCTAGACGGGATGCACTTTTGTTTTCCTGTTCCGTTCCATCGCACCCATGTCCGTTTCGACGGCAGGTCAGAAAAAAAGCGGTCTCTAGCTCAGGTTACAGAGAAGAGGGGCCGCCTCCCACTTGAGTCCCTTATCTCGCACAACCTTGACTGGTAGTGGTGGAGGTTATATTTGGCCTAGTCGACCAGCCGGCCAGCCCGTTCTCGATGTTATATTGTCGGAGAATTAAGTAGCAGAGCATGTTTGGCAACAGTTGATGCTACGATACGAGTGTAAGCTTTAACTGTCTGGTGTAGCTTGACATAAGGTATATGACATCTACCTAATGGACCCAGCTAATACGTAAGCCGAGGCTATTCGACATAGAGGCATAGAGGTACTGTTGTGGTATCGCTGGTTATGGCTTCTTATGGTTTCGAGGTGGTAGAGGGAAAGGGTCTGTGTCGGGAATTTGGTTTTACATCTGTTGGGTTTTTGTATGGACGTTGCTTCACTGTGTTACAGGGACGCGCTTATTAGATTTACAGGGGTTCCCATTGGCTCTATACACCCCATAAGAAACTCCACCAGTCCACATACGACATAGCGTGTTTTTAACCCCTTGACTAGCATGGAACCTTGGAACCTTGGAACCTTGGAACCTTAAAACCCCTTCTTTTTCCCCTTTCGTTCAGCCGCCCGCGGCTCTGCTACGTCAAGTATTGTACAAGTACTTGACTCTCTTACTTTATTTCTGCTTGACGTATCCGATAATTAAGTATCTTGACTTAACTGGAAACTGCCGAACCCCGTATAATCTCCCCTCGTTTTGTTCCGTGCTTCCATCCCGTTTCTTGTTCGATGAGGCTAGCTCAAGCTGATGATGAAGTTTTCATCATTACGACAGAAATCTTGAGTCTTAACAACTATCAAATCCCATCGATCTCTTGATTATATGATGGCGAATGTAAGTTCTTGTTTTGTTTCACCTCGTATAATAACATGAACCTTGCTAACCTTAAGATCAAGGAAAAACCCCCGTTTACAGGACTCCCTTGTTAGTCGTACTTTTAAGCTGCGCTATCAGCGGAATAACACATACCATACCCTATATTGCAGTTTAAGCCGCCCTTATTTTAGTTAACTGGTCATTCTACCTAGTTTATCTATGGAGATGAACAACGAGATTTCGTATTTTCGTATATCTAAATGAGAGTCATGGCCCGGCAAGCCGGATCCTCAGCGCTTGGTCAATAAAGCGGCAGAGCGGGAACATATCCCTGTCGCGGTTCGCCGTAGGCCAACCTTGGTTGAAACTTGCCAAGAGATGAGCCTAGAACGGATCCTTATTGGCGCCGGGACATCGCGAATCTAGCGTGTTGACCCAATTATCTAATTCCAACCAAAGCATCATCGTGCCGAAATATTGTTATCGATCTTCAAATCTCTTTTTCCCTAAGTGGTATCTATCTCATTTATAAAATAAACTTTTAAATGATTTAACTAACTGATATCCCAGAACATAATAGATATAGAACGAAGCATCCGAAAACCGGCCTAACGGTTCATACTCCCAACCTCTATAAGTGAGAACGGGTATAAGACAAATGTAAAACTAGTTGCGGATAAGCACCAGAATTCCACCAGGATGGCACGCTACTTCCATCCCGGCTTAGAATGATTCAAGCCTTAACTCATGCGACTCTCTAATCCTCAAAACGCGGGCGGGGTAGTTTTGCTGTCAACACTCCAAAAGTCCGCGTTGAAACATCCCGATAGTCACCAGATCAATGATGTGGATGACTTATCTCAAACCGATATCGACTATGCCGGGATGTCAGCGACACACGAAACTAACAGTTTAGGGCGTCTATCTAGATCTGGTCTCTTCCCGCGAAACGCGATAGCATACAATGAATGACCTTCGGAATTCTAGCTGATTAAACTGCTGGTAGGAATGAATAACTACTACTCCCTCTACCCAAAGGGCTGGCGTTTATACCAGACGTATACTAGTGGGGTAAAGGGCGAAGATGCCCCTCAAAAGGCTACCTTGCCTCAGTATTAGAGTGTTTATAATCATATCTTATCTATATGGGATATAAAACCCCCGTGAGCAGCCGCATACTATTTGTAAGTAGAGTTAATTATCAACTAACCTTGTCGTGAGAGAGGGCATTAAGATTACGGTGATATCTTATTGACATCTAAATAGATTGGCGTTCCCGACACAGTCATCGTATATCATTCTATCCTTACAAGTTACAATCTCACCATTCTAAAACACTATGGAGTGTTTATCATATAGTTTCATTTCAAGATTGTTTCCCAATCTGGCTTCAGCCTTGGAGAACGAATGTCGCAGAGTGTAAACAAGCGGTACATGATCGATACCTACAGAATTGTACTTCATGCAGCTTCTGGGTAGCCCTTTATGAAGTACATACGTACCCCAAAAGAAGAACCCATTACATACCTATATGTATGCATCTAGAATTCAATACCCTTACCCATGGAGTATCTGACCCTGACTACCACACCTTGTTGTATACTGCATGTAACTAGTAGTTAATCGTGGTCAGAGTCACATTCTCAAACTGTGTTCCGACAGCCTGTTACCTCCATAGTTTCAATATGCTCAGCTTCTTATAAACATACTTACACGTCATGTCAGAAGTAGGTCATTACGGCTTAGCTTGGCTGTCGATCAAGTGTTGGAGGAAACCAGATGACAAGCGTTTGCATTGACAACCTTGTTGAGGATGATGGGATGAAAGACAAGATGCTAAAACTCGATAAGTGATGTTTCTTGGTATACCCAGGCAGACACGGGTCCACGGCCCGTGAAAGTTTCCTTCGTCCATTATCCCTGCGTTTCCTTGCGGGTTTCTGCTTTCTAACTGCGTCTTACCTCTAATAACCTTCAGTGCTATAGAAATTATTACATATACCTCCCAACTGTAGTTTAACACTTATCAATCCGGTTAGCGACACTAGACTCGAGTTACAGGTATACCCGTCTTTAGTCTCAAGGCGCCTCCAACCCAAAATGGTCTTCTTGTGCTTCCCCGTGCCTTAAAGACACATACTCAGGCATATGAGGGGCACAGGCATCTTATAGTCGTAGTTACAGAGCCGCATTAATACCTAAGCGCCTCAGGGCTAGCTACATTATATTCCCTTTGAATGTTTGCTACCGTCCCGACTTCAGATTCATGTTCTCTTCTAGTAGCAATAAACCTAGCACAACACAAGTCCTACTAAGGAAATGGAACTATTGAGGAGGTACCTAACTCTGCTCAATATTGACAATAAATACTTGGACCAAGTAGTCGTCATTTTTTAAGTAAATTGAGATATACCTATCTACAAACTGTATCGGGATTATACATGTCGTATAGTAACTCGTAACGAGGCTCGATGTCGAAACCCATATATTTATCCTGTTTCCGAGATACTTCTGCTACTGCGTCGTCTCCTTCTCAAAGGTTATCTTACATCGGATATAACGTCAAAAAGACAAATACCATAGAGTTCGTAAATTTGGTATCACGTTATCAGCTCGTCTCGACCATTCAACTTCTTTGGATAATAGTCGACAATGGCCCTGCAAGTCGTTCCATGAAGGAACCACCATGCTTCTTATAGACCAAGATAGTAACAAGCTAATACTATAGAATGATGTACTTTTATCTCTAGTATGCATATAGCCGCCCAGTAATAACGAGATGTCACTCATGTATACTAGTAAGCCATGCCCCTTGCGAGCTAGATATTAGGAGAGGTAGTACACCTTGAATTTTCTTACAGGAAACTGCTGTGCTTCTGGGAATATAGACAATGGTATGACTACATGTGTACTACTGTTTCATAGACAACCTTGCTTAGCTAGATAACGAGACGAGACGGAAGGTGAGTACTTCGTATGTCCACCTGCGCTAGGTATACAAGGAAGTTACCTGATGATTACATAGTATAGCTACGCTATTCTGGGATGGCCTAATGCTATAGTAAATAAAGGGCATAGGCACGGTAGAGTTATACCGTCCATTCTGAGCATGGCATTTATGCAAATTGGATACGTTGTTAGCGCTCTAGTTATTGGTCATAGTCAGTTCATTTTGGACCCCTATACGGAGTAAGTTGGCCATGGGGTGGCTTGCCTGCTGCATCCGATAATGAACCTGCGGAGGAGACAATGAATATAGGATATTGTAGTACGAGTACATAAATGGGCAAGCATTAGTAGATATTACTTGAAAGTGACCGCAAGGCTGCATGCACTGCTTGTATACCTCGACCTTATATAGGTACTTGCGGGACTAGGAGGTCAAGTATCGTGAGGATGTGTGTACTCCATACTGCGGGGAGAAGTATCAATACTTGGCCAAAGTCGTTACCTTGCGTTGCATGTACTTGGCATCGCGACTTAGCTCCATACCGAAAATCGAAACTTTGTCGTCTGATCTAAATTAAATTCTCGAATATTGTTTGTA